AGAGATTAGGGGGGAGGACGGCAATGCTCCAAGTGGCGTTCCAGATCTTGCCGCCTCCGGAACCGTCGGTTGTGGCAAACTTGGCAGTGAAACTTGAATTGTTGGCGTTCAGCCACAGTAGGGCGCTTTGGACAGGTTCCACAACGGTGACGCTTGAGACCCGCAGCCGATTTAAATGAACGCTGACAGTTGGTGCAAGTTACACCCGGAACAACAAGAGGAGCAGGGGCAGGGGCCGGCGGCTGGTCGACATCGCCTAGCCGACACTTATGCACCGCAAAGCCTCCTCTGCTACGTAGCCATCGGTTGCATGTTGGACACTGTACTGATCCAGGCTGCTCCGATATCGGGAGCTGACGGATTGCTGAACACTTGTGCCGGGCCATGTCGGAACTACGGCGGAACAGACAGTTGCAGGTTGGGCACTCGATGCTCTTCGGGGCAGGTTCCTTGTCCTCACCTGCTGCTGTCACCACTCCACGCCACTCTCCACGATCGCTTGCCAACTCAAACCAGTTACGCACTCCAGCCACGGATAGGTCCGTGTGAACACACACATACACACACACACACACACACACACAAACATGCACACACACACACACACACACACACAGACACATACACACACACGCACACACAGACACATACACACACACGCACACACGCACACACACACACACACACAGACACACACACACACACACAAACATGCACACACACGCAGACACATACACACACACACACACCACACACTACTACTACTACTACTATTGACTACTATTGACAGCTGCCAGAAATGGCCACGCCGCTCCCCAAAGGGAGGTACTGTCAGAGAGGTTAGGGGAGAGGTAGGCAGTGCTTCAAATGGCGCTCCAGGTCCTGTCGCCTCCGAAACTGGCGTTGATTACAGACTCGGCAATGATGTTCAAAGTGCTGGCGATCAGTCGCTGTAGGGCGCTTCGGGCGGGGTCCACAGCGATGGCGCTTGAGGCCAGCAGTAGACTTGAAAGTACGCTGGCAGACAGTACACACCGGGACCTCGGCAACAGGAGGAGCATCACTAGGCGGTCGGTCGTCACAGTTGTCACTCTCTTGGCACTTATGCACTGCAAGCCCACCCCTGCTCCGGAGCCATCTACTGCAGGCAGGACACTGCACCACACACACACACACCTCAGACCTCAGACCTGCCCATCGCGGAAGCGATGATAACGAACAGCTATGTTAGACATAGCAACTTGTGCTGGGATTACACCATTCGACAGCTTGCAAGGCTGATGAATTGACCGCCACTAATTTTAGCCTCGTATCCACCACACAGCTGATTGAAGTGACTTTTTCTGGTCAGTGAATCCCTATTTTTTATATTTTTATTTTTTATTTTATTTTTTTACACACACATGCCACACCACATACTCCGGCATACACTGGCTGTTGGTAACCACACACACATACACACGCACACACGTACACACACGCACACACACGCACACACACACACACACACACCACACACACACACACACACATGTACACACACGCACACACATACAGGCACCATACCTAGCTTCCTCAGGTTCAATCGTCCAGTCGACACTGATCACATCATAGCCACTCTCGGCAATGGTGCCGATTGCGTGATGACCACCTCGACTGAAGTATGTCTGCAAACAAGAAAGACATTCGGGAGAGAGAGAGAGAGAGAGAGAGAGAGAGAGAGAGAGAGATGGAAAGAGAGCACAACAAATTAAATTACCATCAAGCTAAGGATGTGTGGCTTGCACTGTCCTCAAGGATGAAGACGGACCACATTCTGACATACACGGACAAGTCTGCAAACAGAATCATGTGTGGCAAAACTTAAGGATAACACACTGCTACTTCAAAGTACTCGGCTACAAGTTAGTCCTCCCAAGCATATTTCCAAAACCCATTTCCAGTGGAATTAGAATCGGTTCTCGAGTCTAACCCAGCCTAAATCGGTCTTAAAAAGGCCAGAGATCAATTGCTTCAGAATTGACTGGACACGTAATCACTCAATACAGGTATCACTGCACTAAAGAAGTACTTGCCACAGGTGCAGCATGCTGCAGTAAACTTCATGTGAAACCAAACCCCACAATACTCTAATTTCAGAAATTTTAGGTGCTTTATATTTTCGGTATGAGGGCAAAAGGCCAGGTTAGGTGAACAGATATTTTCGGTACAGAGAAGCAGTTCTCTATTGGATTATGTGTGTCGGTGTTTGTTCGGTGTATTGAATTTTTAGGTATGAAACAGACGCACCGAAAGTACCGAAAATTTGTGAAATTACAGTATGTTACATGCATGGCCCTGGCACTACAAGCACAGGGCTGTGCAGTGAACGCGGCTCGTGGCAGGGGCGTCGGAAGGCATTCTACATTGGTACGACCATGAATAGGCGGGATGGGGGTACCGGATCCCTTCCCCTTTAAAACATTTGGGACCAAACACCCCATATTTCATTGCCTCAGGAATCACAGGATGAAAATACTGAAGCGGCTTTGGCTGCAATTGCTGCACCGGCTCCGACGCCCCTGCGTGCGGCTGGATTTCACTGGCGGGGACAACTCTCATCACACAACTAACCATAGGCACAGCCTCGTCGCCAAGCGCTTCCTTGACCCGCCGTGCAATGGCGCTGATGAAGGGCAGTGCAAACTGGCGGAACTGGCTGATCGTCAGTATGCCGGCGTGCGACTCAAACACTTGAAGCATCTGCAATGCAAGCAACAGCACAACACAGCAACAGGCGAAATGACACGGATGCTGTTACTTCACATGCATGATAAAATACTAAAACCTTTTGAAATAATTCAGAAGTAAAAAGCAAAAAAAACACTCCAATTATTTTCAATAGAACTGGAGACTACAAGACCTAAGCACACACACAAATACAGGAGACACCCACCCACACCCACACACATGCACACCCACATACATACACACCCACCCACACACATGCCATGTACCATGCACACACACACACACACACACACACCTACACCTCCCCCCCCCCCCCCCCCCAACACACACACACACATGTGCGTACCTGTGCGCCTGACTTGACCTTGGCCACTAGGTAGTTGACGCAGACCTCCGTGATGATGCCCAGCAGCTTGGTGGACTCGTCCGGGTATGTGTACAGCCAGCGCTTGGCATGCGGAAACGATGGGCTACCGCCGCCTTCTATCATGTATGACATCAGAGTCCACTGTAGTGGTTCAGTGTAGAGAACACAAACACACAAACACACACACACACACACGCGCGCGCACACACACACACACACACACACACACACACACACACACACACAGCGTACATAAGAGTACCGTATTTCCCCGATTACAAGTCGCACTTGATTTTAAGTCACAACCCATGTTCAGTTCCGAGCCAAATTGTTTTCGATACATTCACATAAGTAAGAAGTCACATTGGATTGTAAGTCGCAGCCCTTTCCTTGCCCTTGAAGTTTAGTGAAAAAAGGTGCGATTTACATTCGGGAAAATATGGCACATTTCTACATGGGAGCATGGCATGCAAGTGACTTGCCAATGTATTACTCACACCAAGGATATTATAAGCTCCCAAGAGTGTGCAGCTCCTGATACCCTTTCTATGGGGTTTGCCGACGGCGAAAACTCACATCACGTGCTGTAGTGTTCCCATTGTACCTATCAACTTTCCAGCCAGTTTTTAGCAAGCAGCAGAGTAATAAAAAAGCACTCCCTGACGTAAAAAAAAACTCACTGCGCGTATCCAACTCCTCAGTACGATCATGGCAGATATTCGGATTGCGAGCACGCTAACCTTAGCTGTACGTAGTATGAAACGTACCTGAGACACGCGATGTGAGTTTTCGTCGTCGGAGACCCCATATGCAGAGTTGCACGCTCTTGGGAGCTTATTACTCTTGCTCACACTAGTAACACACAGAGCCCATTCTAAAGGTACAACATGCACTTTGTGCGGAGATGAGCAGAGCCCGAGGCCGCTCAGTTGAGAGAGACAGGCTTCACCATGGTGCAGGTATGTACTCTGGAATGCAACACATGTGCATAGAACTAGGAGCACACACAACAGCGCCTCGCACGTACAAGGAACAGCATTCGCCACGCGCCAATCCCACCACCACTTTGCGAGAACTTTGGCAATACGCCCAGTGAGAAGGCAGATTTTGCCTGTGCCTAGCACGAAGTAAAATAAAGCCAAACAAACAAACAAATGCATTGTTTTTCTCACCGGTGCGCCGCAGAATCCAACCAGGGGAACTTTGCCATCTAGGCGCACGCGCGTCAGAGCCACCGCGTCCATTACATATCCCAGTTCCATCTGGATGTCCACAGTCGTGGCTACTCGCTGCATCCACCGCCAACAACAACAATAACAACTTTTTAGTGCCCAAGTAATTTTTCGGAAGTTCCCTTAGTTACAATGTACTTGTAGGCACCAGTACAGCAGAGCAATGGCTAATTCAACAATGTGACAATAGACACCTGGAGAAGAAGCCGCGACTGCCATGAGATCACATTCATCAACCCCTTGACTGGACGCATTAGCTGTGCAGTCATGTACCTTTTTCTAGCATGGGGTGGTACAATGTACCTACTAGCATGGGGTGGTACAATGTACCTACTAGCATGGGGTGGTACAATGTACCTACTAGCATGGGGTGGTACAATGTACCTACTAGCATGGGGTGGTACAATGTACCTACTAGCATGGGGTGGTACAATGTACCTACTAGCATGGGGTGGTACAATGTACCTACTAGCATGGGGTGGTACAATGTACCTACTAGCATGAGGTGGTACAATGTACCTACTAGCATGGGGTGGTATTTCCCATTCTTCAAGTTCCAGGCACACTATTTGTAGTAGACGTCAGCATCATGCTCACGCAGTGAAAAAGCCGAACGACAACGTACCTCCAGGTCCTGCGGTTCCCGGATTGGCTGAGGGAAGTGCGGACCCTGGTAGAACACACGGAGAAGACAACACCACGCTCAAGTTCCTATACTGTATAAGCAGAAAATTTCGTCGGTCAATAATTTCGTCCAACTCCAAAGAAAGGGAGTTCGTCCGGTTGAAAATTTCGTCCATGGATCATAAGAGTGTATTGAAAAGCTGGACAAATTAATATTAGTCCAGCATTTAATTTAGTCCAACAGCTCGTTGGACGAAAAAGACAAAATTAAATTCAAGACGAATAGTTCTGCTTGTACAGTACATGTTAAGAGCTGGAATGCAAACCCGCTAAATCCATTTCATCACTTTTTGGATAACGGACAAAAAAGGATTTTATGTGCGGTTCGCATCTAAATCCAAATTTGGGTTCCAGTTTTGAAATGGTTCTAGTCAGATTTTGAATGTGACATTTTGCCTGGTGGTACCCCGAGACCGTTTGATTACCTTCATATCAATGTCCCGCTCTCTGGAATAAGTTGCCTGCATGTATACGATCACTGAAGAAACCAGGTCAATTCCGGACCGCTCTCTTATCCCACCTGCAAAATTCACCGACTTACGTTGCTCACTGATCAAATAATTATGCAATCTTTCCTCTGCTAGCTAGCTGCTGTCTTAAATCCTACTCTTTTTTTCTATTTTCTTTTTTTTCTTTTTAATCTTTTCCTTACATTTGTGTGCCTGTTTGTCTTTAGTCGATCTCATGTAATAAGGCAACACTGCCTGTTTGTTATTCGACGTTAAATAAACCAATCCAATCCAATTACACTGAACTGAAAATCCAACTTTCTCCAATTCACAGTGGAGAAAGAATAAACTGGTGGGATTGCATTCCTCAATATCTGGGTGCAGATGTCTGCGTCTCGGGTGACAACCCATGTGTACAGAAAACCAACGCACACAGGAAAATACATCAATTACACATCACACCATGCACAATCCAGCAGTGCATCACTATGCCTGGCGAGACTGGTGGCACCGCTCCCCTCTCAGGAGAGGTTAGCTGATTTACGGCAACGTCAGCTCAAGAACATGCGAGAGAGAGAGAGAGAGTGTGTGTGTGTGTGAGAGAGAGAGAGAGAGAGAGAGAGAGAGAGAGAGAGAGAGAGAGAGACAGAGAGATGGAGAGGGAGAGAGAGAGAGAGAGAGAGAGAGAGAGAGAGAGAGAGAGAAAGAGAGGGCGGAGCATATAGAGGCCATCCGAGCAGAACTGGAGTTAGCAGAGACAGATGAAAGGAAAGTTGACCACTTCCTTCATCTACTCTCTCACACTCACCTGCACGCTCTCAACCTCGGGTTACTGTGTAGCAGGAAATTTTTGGACAGAATTTATTTTCGTACGATTTCGTACACAGCCTCTTTTGTACAAAAATTAATTCCGTTCTAAAATTTGTCCCTGTGAAGTTGTGTACACTATACATGCGAACACGTGCATTTAGCATGCAGCACTGTACGAAAATAAAATCCGTACGAAAGGTCGAAAATCGGCTTTGTCCGAAAATATTTCCGTCCGAAAATTTCCTGCTATACAGTACTATCTACTCTAGAAACACATTCATAGCATTTACATTGTTTGTACTGTGCTTCGGATAGTTTGCAGTGCACGGCTATCACCCTTCATTTCACATTATTTTATTTGTTATTGGCAGTTCTTTAACGAGCCAGGAAATACTGAATAAATACAAAAATGCAAAAGTCACCGCTCAATTCAGACAGACAGACAGACAGACAGACAGACAGACAGACACAGAAAAGACACAAAAGTTGACAAACCCATCCCACAGGTAGCATGAGAAAGACATCCCATTCTGATGGCTACGAAATATGCTTACTTTTCCTGGTACCATCTCCACAACTAAGCCCAATGCCTGTAGAAACAGCAGCATACAAAACAACACAAAGAAAAACCATGTTCAGTGCCTCCACTGCAGTAAGCACACCAGGGGCGTAGGCAGGATTGTGGCTGAGGGGGGTGCTCACTGGAAGTGTGGGCCTGCGCCCGAAGGGCCAGAAAAATGGGGGGGGGGTCCGGGGGCCCTCCCCCGGAAAATTTTTCGATATTGAGTGCCAAATCCTTCATTTTTGCATCTATTTCATTATTTTCCATTCCACCAATGATTCAATAAAAAGTCAGATAAACAATTTCGCAATTAGATTCGTCAGATTCGGAAATGGCACTGGTACTGCTGCTACTGGTATCTGGTCTCTTCGACTTCCCTCGACTGAAATACTTCAAGATCGACATTTTCATAAGAATCCATTCGACTTGCGGATCACAAAACGACGTTGTCACTTCTCTTTCACTTCTACCAAGTCTAGCTACACAAAGTGCGAGTCTATATACCGGTAGTTGTACAATGCGCAGTGCATCCGAAAACGACCAAACTCACATTCAAAGGCAAAGATCTACACACAACTATACTACCACGGTAGTACTAGTTCAAATTACAGTACCGGTAGTACTACATTGTACTAAAAATTAATAATTTAGCACTACTGCGCCTGTCACCGGCGAGAACATGACTGCATGTGCAGCCATGCATGCAGTCTCAAGTGCAACCTGCATGCGCTACTAGTACTAGTAATACAGTTGGCCGGGCCCCGTCGTGCAGCGCAGCGTCGTGTGGCGTCGATCTTGTCGACGTCGAGTCTCGATCGCGGGCGGGCGTAGATCCACAGCAGTACGAAAATGGTACCTGAAATTTTTGAGGGGGGTGCTTGGGCACCCAAAGCACCCCCCCCTGGCTACGCCACTGCACACCATAACTATGCATAAAGCCACAAGAGCAAGACAAGAGAGAGAGAGAGAGAGAGAGAGAGAGAGAGAGAGAGAGAGAGAGAGAGAGAGAGAGAGAGAGAGAGAGAGAGAGAGAGAGAGAGAGAGAGAGAGAGAGAGTGAGAGAGAGAGAGAGAGAGAGAGAGAGAGAGTGAGAGAGAGAGAGAGAGTGAGTGAGTGAGAGAGAGAGAGAGAGAGAGAGAGAGAGAGAGAGAGAGAGAGAGAGAGAGAGAGAGAGAGAGAGAGAGAGAGAGACAGAGAGAAAGAGAGAGAGAGAGAGAGAGAGAGAGAGAGAGAGAGAGAGAGAGAGAGACAGAGAGAATAAAAGAGAGACAGAGGAGATCCAGCAGATAGAAGCTCAAAACTTACTTGAGGGATGACTAAGATATCCGAGAAGATGATGGCTGCATCAAGGTCAAAGCGTAGGATGGGCTGCAATTAACATTGAACACATAACCCAACCATGCATATACACATCTCTTCATCACCACAATCAAACACACACTGGACAAAGTAAAGGAGAACAACAAGTCCAACTCTCTGAACAAAGCGTATTTAGTGATAATACCAATTGAGTTTCCTGCACTCATTGGACACACTATACAAAATGTGGCACAACCTCTGATTCGATTGAGCTAACTACAGATAGGGTGGTGGACATCACTTCACAGTCACTGCTACCCCCCCCCCCCCCCCCACACACACACACACCATACTCAAGTCATGTGCCCAGACGAGTGTCCGATGACTAGAAATAACTTATTTATGCCTCGGATCATTGTGCTTTAGTCATCCGCAACAAATTTAAGAGTGCCCCCCCCCCCCCCCACCTTCTTATGCAGCTCAGTACCCGAAGACATGGCATTCCTTACCTGCAGTGTAATTTCACAGGCAAGCTCTGGCGTTCGGCAAATCTTGAAAAAGTCATGATCCTCGCGAACCTTGCGGAATTCTAACACGGCACATGACCAAGACACGAAAGTACATGTAGAAAAAACGAGGTCACCAATTGAACTGTGCGAAGGAAACAACTAGGTAATAGAGAGGTTAAGATGCACGTTATTTCTGAAGCGACGCGAAAGTTCAGCTCGCGTTATTTGGCTCGCGCGTCGAAAAACAACATGAGTGACCGGCAGCTCACGTCAAAATGTGGAGATTTATGCCAAATTCTACGTGAAATTGCGCGTCACGTCGGAAATAACGTGCATCTTAACCTCTCTAATAGCACAATGCCCTGTGCTTGGTATATTCTACCAGCCAAGTTTCTGAATCACTTTACTAGCACAAATCAAGAATATTTTGCAAAAAAAGATGAAAAGTTTGCATGCTTTCCGCTAAAATCAAGAATACTCGTACGTAAGCCAGAGCGGGCAACTCCGCATCTACATGTATGCCGCAAAGAACCACTCCCACGGCAAAGTTGTTGTGTTTAGGTCTTCAGGACTCATGGTCGTACGGCAGGCTCAGGGTCAACTCACTGTATCACTATGTGCGGTTCATCCACAGTCGCTAGTGTGACAACAGGACATTTGTGTGCCCTTTTCACCTTCTGTACGACACGCAGCATACTGCAGGACTGCACAGCAGAAGGTACCCTTGGTGATGCGGTAAAATGATGATGGTGTAAATTGGTGCGAGACGCCGCTAATGCGAGCCACTATGAACAAAAAAGACTTGGCCGTGGGCTCATTCTCCAGAGTTGCATACTCTAGTTCACCGGTATGCACTCTCGCTACAACCCATTCAGAGGAATTTCATACGCGCAATATTTGTGGACATACGAATGGTCCACGGTGAATGTTGGTTACCACATTGATACTCCGTATGCTCAGGACTTAATTTGTCAAAGTGTCGTACTGATTTGCTTTCTACTTTCGTTGAATACTTGATTTGATTCACTGGTAAGAAATAAAGAGTACATTATACCGTAGGACACCGTACCGGTTGTACATAAAATATTAGTCTAGTACGCATTTTAAATAATTCACACGAAATTAAAAAGCAAACGAAATCTTCTTGATTTACAGCACCAGTGATACCGTCTGTGTAGCAACACACCCACGACCACAGCTAGAGAAATATACAAAATATCTACATGACTGTACTATCGTTGTTTCCATGCTCCTACCTGGTAAGTATCGCCCGGCCTGTCGCATTGCCCACACTGGCACTCGTTCAACATCTTCTCCTCTCGCAGCACGAAGAATAAGGTCATTTCGAAGCTTCGGAAACTCCATTGTCTACCTCGTCCTTCAGCGTCTGAATAAGGAAAAAATAATAATTGCTCTCTGCTGCAGAAGAATGAAAACTTTATGCTTTTGAAGCTTTCAAAAACTGGGGAAATGGGTCGGAAGTCGTTTGAAGGTGCGAGTGGGCCGCTCAGCTGATCTTCACCACGTGCACATTCACGTGGCTAGTCACGTACTGTATGGCTCATTATTACTCATTATTATGTATGTAGTCATAATCATTATTGCATGCATGCTGGTAGACAGTACGCCGAAACCATTTCGGCGAGTGACGTGTGTGTCTTTCCCAAAACCAAGGACATAACCCTGGGTAGAAGGAAGGAAGATTTCTGAGGCTGTAGATCACATTGAAAGTAAAACCAAGGGTGGATAACAGATCAGAATAAGTACATGCCACATGACCGTTGCCTCGTCTACAGCCAATCAGGACCTTCGGAAGGCTTCCCGAGTGGGTCGATATCTGCCCAACAAGTCAAGGCCGCTGACAGTCACACCGTTCAGGCAGTCTTAGTCTATTTAATTTATAGGGTCCGGCGGATTCTGCCGGCAGAAAAATTGGCAGAATTCGGTACTTTTTCTGGTAAGTGTCATGCATGTTTGGTATGTGGATAAAACAATGGAGCAGAATTCGAGGAATTGCCCGCCATAAGGTTTGTATGGTTCTGCCAATTTCACTGCTTTTCGAGCAGAATCTGCCACCTTTTCGAGCAGAATCCGCCGGTCCCTTGGCCCTACAGGCAGATGTGCATACTCTTGAATTAATTGCCATGATTGACATTCAGGGTGTGGGAGGTACAGCTTTCCACTGGTTCCTTACATACCTACACTACAGAACCGGGAACAGCGGCGTGTCAGCGTGAAGACATCCCTATTTTTCAGCTGTGTGGTGGATACCAGGCTAAACATAGTGGCGGTCAATTCATCAGCCTTGCAAGCTGTTGAATGGTGTAATCCCAGCACAAGTTGCTATGTCTGACATAGCTGTTCGCTATCATCGCTTCCGCGATGGGCATGTCTGAGGTCTGAGGTGAAGACATCTCTGGCTGACACGTATGCACTGGGCCAGGAAACAGAAGTGTGCAGGAGGCTCTGCTACTTTATTCAACAATAATGGCAGTTCGTAATCTTCCCTCGGCAACAAAGCCACGCCCTGTTTTCGACCAAGCATTTTCTGATACAGGTCCGGTTCCACGAGTGCCGCCAAGCATTAGTTAGCTGGTGTGGGTGGATCATTCTGGGCTGCATTTCGGGCTCTGAGCACTCTTCGCCTCGGAGCTGTGGAGGGCGGCAACGTAAGCTCAGTTAGCTCAGCACGGCTTCCCCGTGGTTGTGGCTACCACACCACTGGAAGCAGTGCTAAATACAGTAAACAGTGGGCATGTCGTAAAAAGAGGACGAAAAAAGTGTTTTTACTCCGACATTCACGCACTAAGCGATCATCAGAAAACAGTAACACAGTATTCATGTCGTCACAGTCTCCGCGGTCTTCGCTCGGCCTTCGCAGGGCAGCTCATCTCTCCTTTCACATGCCCAATGAGCGGCCTGGTGCCTTCCTAATCCTCTCTCCAGTCCTGTAGACTCTGGTGCCCATCCTAACGTCGAGCAGAGTTTGGGTGTGCCTCGAGGCCAGGCCAGTAGAATGGGGAATGGCGCCCGTGATTGATAGGCATTAGCGGATAATGCTCGAAAAGGTGGCAGATTCTGCTCGAAAAGCAGTGAAATTGGCAGAACTATACAAACCTTATGGCGGGCAATTCCTCGAATTCTGCTCCATTTCTTTATCCACATACCAAACATGCATGAAACTTACCAGAAAAAGTACCGAATTCTGCCAATTTTTCTGCCGACATTATCCGCATATGCCTAGTGATTGAGTCACCAAGAGAAGGGCTGGAGCCTTTCCCCAGCAGTTGCATTCGATGCATCGATGACAGGGTCAGCGCCACAGTGGTGGCAATGCTATTGCTAACTCTGCGAAATGTACTCGCCGAAATTGTTGAGCGCCGAACAAAACCAAGGGATGAAACTGCACTGTCGCCCTCGATGACCACACAACCTCGAGAATCGACATGGCTCGAGATGAAAATAATGTGCAAAACCATGATGAAAACAGCTCTAGCACATCTTCGATGCGCACTCCAACAGCCTTCCAACTTGGAAGGTTCTAAGTTAGTTAGTAACTTAGTTATAGAAATAACATAAGGACGGGACGGGACGGTGAGCGCAGCCAAGATACTGTAAGCAAGAGCTGAAAGTCTTAGCTGTGATCATCGTGGAGTGTGAAGCCTGAAGGACTTTGGCGGCTGTTCATGCATGTCGATATGTTTAGTACCATTTCTGGTGGTGTTAGTGGACAATAGCGTAACTAATACAATACTTGTAGTTCATTGGTCCTTTTCCTTCTATAAAATCCTTGGCTCCATCCGAGTCCATGATGAAAACAGTAATCATAACCAGTGATAACCCGGCCCGGGCCCGGCCCGCGCGCCCCTCGCCGGAAGTAAGCAAAACTCAAGTCAAAACTCCTCCCGCTCGCCACGTTCACGACTCTGTGTAAATCTACATGACTTTGTGTGCGACCGCCTACTGGCCGCGCCTCGCGCCTGAGCTGTGCATATATGTGCCACTGCACTACCATGACAACCGCCCCACTACCGGCGGTACCGCATGATGGCACATCGCTGAACATGAAGCCACAGAGCTGTGGAAAGAGTTAGTGAAGTCAGTGACTTGAAACAGTACTCAGTAGGATGGCACGCTCGAAGTCGAAGCGCAGCCATGCATGCCACACACGTCGGCAAGAGCTCCCTAGATCCCCCGGCCTTGTCGAAAACGATTCAATCTTCTTTCAATAATCCGCCCACTGTCACTGTCGCAAACCTAGCGTAGACCGGCGCGCGGAGTACGAGTAATAATATTATCTGAAGCCAGTGAAGGGATGCACGATGACACTTGACAGTGGTTTACTAAAAGCTAGCAGATTTGATTAGTTTGTCGTGTCGATTACAGGAATGCTATTGCCAGTATTAGCAAAGCAGGCGGAGTTGATGCTTTGGAGCGAGCCAGTCAGGAGACGGCGACTGACGGTCTGCGTTTAGCCGGCACCGCTGCGTGAAAGGACAGGAGAAGTGAGGTGGTGCATGGAGTGTTGCTAGCGACCGTGCTACGACTAGTTTGCAGACAGCTAGCGACTACTAGAACATGCACTGAATCACTGAAACAGTGACTGAAAGGACGTTTGCGACACCTGCGAGTGTTGTGTACCACTGGCGTACGTACATGCTGTGCTTTCCAATTATTTCTACGAATTAAAAAAATACACGATCCATCTAACTTGGACAGGTGTTGTGAAGCGTGGAACAGTTGGAGATCCACTGGCACTTGCAGGGTAGCTGAGGAGGACACGGAAAGAAGCAGCCAGCGAGTCATTTGTGTCGTAACACAGCAGCGCACAGGATGCCCGAGCCTTGCGCCGTGGTGTGCCCGCACCCGGGCTGCTGGCAGGCCAAACGAGAAGCCGAAAGGAGAGCTACCACGCACCGGAATGCCACGAAAGCAAACGTCTCGGGCAGGGGGGCATTATCACGTGCACCACACGGTGGAAAGCAACCTGCTGGTGGCGGGGAACAGTCCAATAAGGTCCGCTCTCGGTTTGCGTTGCCTCGCCGGAGTGACATGGTTAAGCCGCCGAACGCCGCTCTGATGTACGTGCAGAGGAATAGAAACGTACACGCCGCTGCACATGCTGGACATCCTGGCGGTGTAGCTCAAGCACAAATCAAAGCCAAACAGGAGATCTCTGCTTCGGTTCCTGAGCCGGGTAAGAGTCGCAAGAGTCGTAATCTGTAGGGATGCACGATGCATCGATGACAGTGCAAGCGGTTTGGTAAAAGCTAGCAGCTTTGATTAGTTTGTCGTGTCGATTACAGGAATGCTATTGCCAGTATTGGCAAAGCAGGCGGAGTAAGAGTCGGTCTGCATATAGGAGTGTGGCGTACTTGGTTGAAACACAATGATGAAACGATTGTCCTTCACCAGAACTTCGCAAGTTTGTGTAATCCTGATGGTGGGTCGAGATTAAAATATTGCGAAGATTGATTGTGAAGACACGAAGTACATGACTGTACAGTGTACAGTGTTGCTCAAATGAAATCCAATCGCGTGATTCAAGTTTTCACCCTTCACCAATTTGTTGCCGAAACAGTGCTTTACCACGGTTTGCAGATACTGTATAACACCTTTATTTCGGTGTAATTTAAATTTCGGTAACTTCGGTACTGGTCCTGGATCACCTAATTTAACATTACACCTAAATTTTCCGAAATACCAAAAAATGTAAAAATCATGAAAATCACTGTGTTAAAAAAATCAACTTGCATAATATGTACTGGTATACCGGTAGTACATTGTACATACATAACATGTACCGGTATACATAATATGTGGAGCCTTTAGTTTTGGCCTTGGCGGAGATATTAGCGCAAGAGCGTTTTTTTTTTTTTTTTTTTTTTGGTGCCATGCATACCGAATTTATCCTTACACCGAAAGGTCAGGGGTTGGCTTTTACCGAAATTTTACAACACCGAAAATAAGGTGATATACAGTACTACGTATGCAACACCTATACTGTGGAGTAGCTACCTCCCCTCCTTTAAAAAGATAACTTGGAACCAACAACGGTGTGTCCAGGATTGGTGCAGATTCGTTCTCGGAATTAAAAAAACCCCGTTTTCTTTCTGTGGTGTGCGCAGGGGGACATCATCGCACGCATCTGCCGCGTATATCATTTCAGCAGCTAGGCACAGAAAACGCACCGGCTGAGCACCACTCTGCAGAGCACGTTGCCGATAGCAACGCGCATGCTCTTGCAAAGACGGCGACCCGGCAGCCACCGGGTTGTCCTGCTCCCAGCTTGGATTGCTTACTGCCTTCGTACACACGTTACAATGATGCAGCCCCGCGGAGAAAGTGGCCACCGAGACTGTCGCACATGACGGTTCAGTGTAGCGACATGCAAGTCGCCGATGACACGGGTAGGCCAACAGCCGCTGCTGCATTGCCCGGACAGTACGTATGGGTGAAGGCTGAGCGGGCGCCAGACCCTAAGCCAAGGACGTACCATGAAGGAACGGTAGGGACATTGGGCACGCCACACTGGCGTCCATGATGTTGTGCACTACATGCATGTCATTTGGTCCGAAGGAGTGGCCGTGCAATAGACATGGTTAGCATTTTACCGTTCACGCTATTTTTGGCGGTAGGCCTGCACCGTTTTTTGTGTGGGTAGACATGGCATTTTACAGTTCACGCGCTAGATCCAACGGTACTCGTACCCCAAACCCAAAATACCGTCGGTTTGGTACCGTTTCGACGATAGAAAGCTCTTTTTAGCGGGAGAACGAAACGGTAAGATTCTAACTAGGGTTACCTCACACGTCTATCGTTGCGTCAGGAGTCAGGACTCAGAAGCCGAACTGCTAACTGTGTCTCGAAAACACATCAAAAACAGTAGACTCGCCCTCTACACGCCGACCGTCGAAATAGCGTGAACGGTAAAATGCTAACCATGGCTAATGACTCCCCAGTGCGTACATTAAGTACCACGTGTGCTGCAACGGTTCTTTTGGAAGCTGCCCCCCCCCCCCCCCCCTGGAAAATGATCCGATGCACTGGTAGTTTACAGCACAGTGAATTGGTGCGTTTACGGTATTCATTATCAGTCAATAGGCCCAGCATGTTCAATGATATCTTCTTCACAGTGTTCACGTTTTTTCTGAATGTTATTTCTTTGTTGTAACTTTACAGGGCTACTACTGGGAACCTGACAACCCGGCCATCTTTGACCACCCGTCCACGCCAAGTCTGGCCATGTCCGACCTTGTAGCTAAGGGACCAATGGTGTCGTCTGTTCACGCCATCGACATGCAATTGCAACCGGTAAGCATTAGTGTTGCTGTGGTAGAAGACTAGAAATATGATGAGCATTTTATACAGTAAAACGTGCAACTCACTAACGGCCACCGCGTGGGCCAAAAAAGCGGTCTTTAGTGCCAGGTGGCATTTAGTTGGAGGTGTGGGACCGCACGACCAGCGGTCTTTAGTTGCAGGTTGGAGGTGTGGCACCGCACGACCAGCGGTCTTTAGTTGCGGGTTTCATTGTATACTGTAAGAAAGAAGAAGAAAAGGATTCGCGGTTCGCGTGAGACTCGGCTAGAGACCGAATTTTCTGCATCCGCTGGGCCGCCACCACCCTCAAAGATCAAGGCGCAGATGCAGCTCCTAAAGCGATGGGAGGTGAGGAGATCAGACCCACCAAAGTGGTCAAAGACCGAAAATCCCATTGGCTGCATCCATGCTTCCCTCGTACCACGCCACGAGTTCCCAATTAACTGTGGGTCACAGCACGGCTGGAAAAATCCTTCCGCTTCCAAGCAGAACTTGAACCGGGTGCCCTCTGTTTCTCTCAATCATGGTCTTAGACTATACCACTATGCTTGCCTGCTGTAAGATTGGAAGCAATAATTATTATGATTCCTGTCAGTTGATACATCTCTCCCCGTCCAGACCAGCTAAGCTGTGCATTAGTGCAACAAGCATGATACGCAAAATGTGGAACAATATTCCGCTGTAACTCAGACCTTTGTGCTAAATGCCATCCTGGGACAGCGATAGTCATTATTATTATTATTATTATTAAATTTTTGATAGGGCAATCCCCGTCATGAACGGGGGAACCGAGCTCTTGTATTTAGTACAGAGATATGTATATTGCCCTAAGCCGGGCTACCGGCCATGGAGGAAAGGTGGCCGCACAGACATTAAGATGCAATGTAACGCGTTGCTCGAGCGCCAGAGCCCTCTAACTATGAAAAAGTAGCGAGCGCTGCATGAGAAAGTATGTTATGTATGTGTTTGCTAGATATATCTCTCTCTCATTCTCTGGTCTCTTCTTTCTCCCTCCCTCCCTCCCTCCCCCCCCCCCCTTCTCTCTCTCTCACTCTCTCTCTCTCTTCTCTCTCTCCTTCTCTCTTCTTTTTTCTCACCTCTCCCCCCCCCCTCCCACACACACTCAAAACATGAAACCTGGTTTCACATACGGTGTGTTGTCTTTGTTTGCAATGTGTTAGGACACACACGGTCCGCTGGCTCCTCAACCAAGGCATCATCCCACCAGAGTGCCCTCTGTGTTGGGTGTCTCAGCGAGCATGGCCGTAGCAACTAGCACATCATCAGTCCGTCACACAACTCCGTCAAGAGCTGATGCACCTGCTCAAAGCCAGCATTTACTCAAAAGCACAAAACCACCATCGTTCGTCCGCCGTCACGCTTCGGCCAGACGGACCAGAACGAAAACAATGCCACCGATTCCCAAGCAGAAGCCAACCAAAAAGGGCTTGGTTGAGCTGGGAGGTGCTTCGTTGAGTGCCAGCTCTTCCACGAGTGTCGTCTTCCACAACAGCCGGCGGGTGAGAGCTCAGTCGCATCCGATACGCTGGGGATTCTACAAACTAGCCGATCCAGCAGCACCCGTAGTGGACAGTGGCTCACACTTGAGTTCTAATCCAGCAAAGCAACACGGGCAGAGGCTCAAATCCGCCGGACGCCTGCCGCCAAAGCAGGTCCTCCCCAGCATCGAGATGGTGCCGGATCTTCCCGCGGGCAAGAGCCACCCGACGATGCCAGCCTACCTGGAGAGCCTGCTGGAGCGTGCCAAGCTGGACGAGCGGCAAGATGGCGCAGAGCGGCCGGCCGAGGTGTTCGGTAGCGATCTGTACCTGATGGCACCGACGGCCGCTAACTCGCCGACACCGGCGCAGTTTGCCGAGCACTGGATGAAGGAAGCTGACACGACCAAGGCCAACGCGTCGTCTGATTTACTCCCCGCCGGTGTCGGCCGTAATGCCAACTCACAGCAATCATCTAGCACTGTGATAATCGGCGGTCCGCATAACACTCACGCTGACATGCTCTCGCCGACGCTTTCCTCCACCAGCCTGCCATCGTTTGACCTGCCACTACGCAGCTCTCCTCTCACTCCTCGTCATCATGGCGCTACGCCAGGTTGGCTGCGGAACCCGTACGCTGGCCCACAGAACAGCACTCCACTGCAAGATACGCCCAGCCACTACAGCCAGGAGTCAACAGAAACGCCATTGTCGGACGCGTCACTGTTCGCCGTCGACGAAGAGCACTTCATGGACGAGTACTACCGGCGTCAGCGCATCCGTCGAGCCGCACGTGGCCAGTACCCACGCGGTCATCACCCACGCGGCCAGCACCCATCCCTGGCAATGGCCGGTCTCGATCTGGCCTCTCCGCTGCCCTTCATTGCGCCCGCATCGAGCCCAGTGTCCGCACCGGCCAGTCGAATAGCTGGCAGGGGGATGCCGGGCGAGAATGCAGGTCATGCTGATTACAGGCCTGGCGTACGGCCACCAATCGACCAAGGAATGCCGCCACCCATTGAGGAAACTGCAGAGGAGAACTTAGACCAGAGACACTCGCACAGCAACAGTTCAACGTCGCAAACGCACAGTCGCCATGAACTAGATGGTGGGGCGACTGATAACGAACGTGTCGATAGCCGTCAGAATGAAGGCACGGCGCAGCGGAACCAGGAGAGTCCAGGTACATCAGCCGAACAGGATACCTCCATGGCAGAAGCTGTGCAGGATACATCCACACCGGACACAAGGCAAGACCTTGCCACAGCCGAGAGCAACAGCGACAGTTTTAAAACTGGCATCAGGCAGGAACATTCTGAGGAGATACTTACGCAAGATGGCCCAGCCCTGGACAGCAGTCCACACGTAGATCATTCAGCCGGTCCTCGGTTTCTTGAAGACGATCCGTCTGCCCCGGACAGGTAGAGCTGTGAGCAAGAAGGACACTGTTCTGCTGAAGAAGCAATGGTAAGAAAGGCTAAGGAGCTGCAACAACCACTGTCCACCGATGGTGAAGGTACGACGGACCAAGTTCACACAGCGGAGAGAATCGATGAACATGTGAAGAGAACTTCTGAGCATATGCCTGAAGACAATGAGGTGAAGAATGCTGTTGGGGGCAGTGGTGTTCAATGTAGCGACGACATTGCACTCGAGGAGGAACCGGGTGTTCTTAATGATAGCTTGCATAGACCTCGGTCCTACCGGTAGGACCTACCGGTAGGACCATCATACACAGACATGCTGCATGGCCTATGTTCTAACATTGACCTAAAACTTGACCCTAAACTGTTGCTAAGGGGCTAATGAAGAAGTCCACAAATTTTAGACATGATCGCACAAGGCATACTACGAAATTCCATGGTAACAACCCATGGTAACCATGGAAACGGAGTATGGAATTATGCATTCCACGGCCTTGGCAAGCTAATAAAAACATTAGGACCTCACCACAATTGATGTGCCATGGTCAAAATTCACTTTGGACAGAGTTGCTAGCGCACCGACAGGATTATGTGCGGCCATTTTGACAATCGGTAAAATTGCGCATACGCAATGCACTGGACATAGCCTTGCATTTTGCGCCATTACTTTGCCTGACAAAGACCTCATCTCAACAATTGTTTAAAAAAAATTCTCAACCAAAAGCACTTTTGCAGCTCGATTTCTTGGGTCCTACCGGTAGGACCCGTGGTCCTACCGGTAGGACGGTATGCAAGCTATCATTAAAGTGACTCAACATAGTAAAACAGCTCAGCAAGACCCAGAAGAACTCCAACCGGAGGAAAACTAGCCAAATTTGAGATAAATGAGACTCGGGTACTGCAAACATGGCAGCCCGGTACTGTCCCTGTGTGCTCCCGGTGGAATTGCTCCCATCGTATTACAAGAGTCGTGTCTAGCTGTTTTGTGTGACTTGTCCATCAGCAACCTTGAATACACCAGTGCTGCTGCTGCTGCTGAGAATCCTTCTAACGTGAAATACGAAAAATCCACCCCATAGAGTCGCGTATCCACACAAAGGACACTGCCATCCCGAGCATATTGAAATAAACCCGTTATATACACAATATAACTTGGTGTTGGTTGACAGCATGTAAGACTGACAAACAAGGTTTATCTAATAATACAATAATTATAACCTCCATCAGACCAGGTTTGTTTGTTGTACAAGTCGAATCTTTCACCGTTTACGTATTACTGAAACACACAACCTATTAATTTTGTGAGAAGTTGAAATTGGAGGGAGAGGGGTATATGTAATACAGCTGCAGTAATATGACGTGTTACATGTACATGTACCTGCACCGTACCCAATGCTGTAGACAGCTAGCTCTTTCAGCTATCTACACCGGTGGCAACTGGAATCCGACTCCCCTGAGCGGTGCGTTACACATTCTAGCGGTCTCTATTTCGTAGTGTTACAATCCCGTGTTGGGTCTTTGCGATGTGAGCGCACCGCTCCAGGGGGTCGGATTTCAGTTGCCAGCAATGTAGTATCGTAAGTAAACAGTGTGTCGACAGGCATGATAACAGCAGGAGGAATGGGTCAGTATTACATACAGTGGCCTCCTGACTAGTAGCCTCAACATGACACTCGTACTCGTACATTGGCGTGTCCATGTAAAATATCACGGTCCATGTAAGCAATCAGTTATTCGTTATCTCTAGTGTCGCTTCAGATCAGTGATTGCAGCGGCAGCATTGCAAGCTCATGAATACACAACCATCGAGGTCATTGCACCATTGCCGACTCTCAATGAATGCTGTCGATTCCAATATGCATTGTGATAACGTTTATAAGTAGAGTGATTACGTCAATGATGATGTCACTATTATACGACACGCTTGTTAACGTTGCTGTCGTAACCGTACTGTAGAAGGATCGACTCGATGGAGTCCTTCATACTGATTGCCATGAAGATCGTGATCACCTGTCATCATGCAGAAAGCACATGCCCCAAACACACGCACACACACGCGCGCACACACACACACACACACGCACACACGCGCGCGCACACGCACACGCATGCACACAAACAAACACACACACACACACAAACCCATAATTCAGGATATTGTTGGTGGAGTTAGCTCTGTTCTCCACCTTAATTAACACAGCCCTACTAGAAAACAAGTTGTAACGGGTTTCAACTAAGGAGACGCATGTCCGCTGTTTGGAGTTGGTTGTTTGCGTTGTACCACGCACATGTTTTTCGAGTGCAGAGATCGTGCCATGCATACTGACTTTCAAAATGGTGGAGAGTTTGGTGGTTGCTGGTGGGAAACAAGGTGTACAGAGCCTGTGCTAAGCTCCTATGGAGAGTCAATGACCACTGCTATATTGTGCAATGTACGTGACAGCACAGGTTGACTGGAGTGGAGTGGGTATGGAGGTCATGTGTATGACGTCATGGTGGTGAGTCAGCAGAACCGCTTGTTATTATTTTGAAAATGACCCACTAAAAGGCAATATGCCTATCGAGGGGTTCATTTGATTGAAAGACCAGTACAGTGGGCGCTATGTATACAGCGCGAGTCACCGGAACCGCTTACGGGCGCTCTATGTAAACAGTGTGAGTCGCTAGTGCATCGCCGTGCCATGACTTTGCCAAAGCATCTCGACTGATGATTTGATCGCATAACCTCCGTATAGCCGCAGGACGTGAACAATTTGCATGTCATTCAATCTGAGGAGAGAACTGTAGGGGTCAAACGGGTGTACCGGGTACCCGGGTACCCGCCCGTTAATCTCAGGTACCGTTAGTAAAAGGGTACCCGTTTGTAAAAAAAAGAAAAAAGAAGAAGTGATCCTATCGTATTCCAAGACTCAAAATAGGAGTGCGGATACTCTTTTCCTTTTTCCTGTGCATTCCCGCTTTCGACTTTATCAGGCAGGAGCAGGCTGAAAGACAGACTTGACAGTTGTTCTCTCCACTCTAGTGCAAGTAAAAATCCTCGTACTGGAGGTTTTTGATTGTGATGTGAGAAAATGCAAGACTTGAAACTCGTTCGAGGTGGCAGCTGAGTAACTAGAAAGTTACGATGGTTCTCCGACATCGAACCTGCCACAGTACTTGATGAACTAGTGTCACCAGGCTGAGTGACCAGTCGGAGTGTCACAAACGGTGATGTCCGTAGGTGGTAGCTACATGTATGATACTCATGGTTGTAGTTTGTTCCTTCAATCGACGAGCTGAAAAGTAGTTCGAAATATTGCATACAAGATTACGGATTTGCGAAGATTCATTTCACGAGTTCAACAAGCTAGCACTAGCAGCTAGCTGGCCAGCAGCACATCAGCTGTGCCAGGCACCCCAGCTAGCTATGGGCGTGAACATCTTCTGAATGATACATGTAGCTTGTATGACCATCTACATGTACGATTGTAAGTAAGTTACTGCCTGTGAAGTTAGGTACATGGGCAAATGCACGGATGACATTCATTTGGAACCTTCATTGCCATAATAATATTATGATACACGAATCAATTGCGAATCATAATGTAGTTTTCAAAATACAACCTGAGAATATACAAATTAAAATTTATGTGATCTATGTGAGAAATGCGCAAAAAAATAATATGGCTGCTAAAGGGTACCCGTTAACCCGCCCGTTAAGAAAATTACCCGTTCGTTAGTTAAAGGTACACCCGTTTGACCCCTAGAGAACTGCTTTGTGCTTTGTGGACTAGACATAGCGCATACATGCCAACCCTCCTGGTTTTCCCGGGAAAATCCCGGGAAACCAACGATACTCCCGGGGACCCCAACCTTTGCAAGCAGAAGCAAATTAAATTCACACTTAGGCTGTTAGGTAGGTCGTCAAAACCTCGTTAGTTATGTCCAGTGGTTGTCTCTTGTTGTCGCACTACATGTCACGCTTATTGAGTTTTCTCGCACTTGCACCTTTGTGTCATTAAGTTGCTATGTGTATAGCCGAGTCACGTCTTTTCGCTGTTTACTTTAGCTATCTTCTTCTTTGCGCTGTTTTACCACCTCCATACTGTACCGTATTTTCCGGAGTATAGTGCGCACTTTAGATGTGCTATTTAAGGCCATAAATCGCAGGTGTGCACTATGCTCCGAATATGAAATGCATGTACTTCAATGAAGATTGAAGTGCGCACCCCCAATGAAGATTGGGGTGCGCGTTATACAAAGGTGCGCACTATACTCCGATAAATACGGTACTTTTAATCCACTGTTCCTGTTCCTTTTCCTTTGCCTGTATTTCACCTGATGAGAAGGCTTGAAAGTATACTTGTGAAACCAAAAACTTTCAAGATTTTCGTAAAGAGCCTGAAGTGTGTCCTTTTTATGAGTATTATCGCATTTTTGTCTCAGAGGAAACTGTTTACTCCTGGGGTCCCGGGGATTTCAAGCAAGCTCCCGGAAAAGTCACATTTTTGTCTGATACAGAATGCTTTTTCACTTGTCTTAGTACCATCCAGGGATTCTGCATGTCTCGTCAAGGGATTGAGATTTCCGGGTGGTTGGTCAGTATGATAGCGCACCGCCGCAACAGCAGCAGTGCTGCAGACAGGACTGACCTGAAGCAGGAGAATACCGCCGGCAATGCCTCCCAGCACCGCGTAGTTGCTCACAATCCACCTGTAGAGAGCATCGTTGCAACCGTCGGTGTATATCGTCTCGTCCGCGCCGCGTGCCTGTGAAAACAACAGGAAAACAACTCTTAACAGACACACACAGCAGATGTATCTCCAATTCTGTCCACTTGAGTCGTGAGCACATGTACTCAGTGCAGCGGAGCATGGCTATAATTATTATTATGTACTGTAAATATACAAATTTTCGGCAGCTATTTAATTTCGGCTATATTCGGCACCGACCCAAAACGCCTAAATTAAAACGCCGATGAAATTTTTCACAGCATCTGTCGCACTATACCATGCCCTCTACCCCACGCCGAAAATAAATCGCCGCCGAAATGTCAAAAATCGTGAAGTGCCGAAATTTTGCAGCGCCGAAATTTTGTATATTTACAGTACATGTATGAAAAGGAACTTAGCAAACAACACACACACACACACACACACACACACACACACACACACACACACACACACACACGCACACATGCATGGTACCAGGAACTCACAATGCTTGGATATTGCATCTCCTCCTCCGATGTCATGCCGGGAAACGGATACACGCGGTAGCCGCACTGTGTATTAGCGGTCTGCAAGTCACACACAGGGAACACACATACTGACCGGCACCGAACGGCATACATGTAGACTACGGTAACACCTGTGAAGGTGACCACTCGGATAAAGCAGACCACCTGTCCTTGAAGACCACTGAAACCAGGACCAAGGGATGCTACTTCCAGTCAAATGACTCCGCGTAAGGAGACTACCTGGTAACAGAGACCATGCTTTGAAGCGGCCACTTGAGCGGTAATCTTTTTTAATCAGGCCTTTACAGTACTATTTCTCACAATGCGAAGACTCCACTGTAGCCATCCACTATATCCATACATCTTCACAACACTCTCCAAACGGTCTCTGGCATACTGTATAAGCAGAAATAATCGTCTGGAATTTAATTTCGTCTTTTTCTTTTCGTCAAAGGAGCTTTTGGACTAAATTAAATGCCGGACTAATCTCGATTTGTCCAGCTTTTCAATACACCCTTGTGATCCATAGACGAAATTTTCAACCGGACGAATTCCCTTTCTTAGGAGTTGGACTAAATCATTGACCGACGAAATCATGTTCTGCCTGTACAGTAAGTCATACCTTTGTCCACTAACCTAAAAGAGTAAGGAAGGGGGGGGGGGGGTGTGACTCACAATCAAGTGTGACATCCTATCTACATGTACTTAACGAGGCGCATATATTATAACGATTTCCCAAAATTGACTAGTTTACGTGTACCAAAGGTAACTGTTCTATCCTGATACCCAGGCACACAAGCATCCAGCAAGCACCAGTAGATTGGGGAAAAACCCCTGAACAAGGGCATGCGCAGTGTGATCATGCTAGATCATGCTAGTGCTACAGAAGTAGGTATATTACTACTATGTACAGTACATATGAGTACCTATCTAACACGAGTACATAATAGTAACGATTCTCACTCCTTCTCAACACCCAATAGTACAGAATATGTATCGATGTAATGATTTCTATTTTAACGACCTGAGAGTTCTCCTCATTAACTCGTTAGAGTTAGCACTTCGTTATATATATAAATGGCTTTTACAGTACGTGACTCTACTGAAACAATTCAGCTCAAACCTGCTATGGGGTGCGACTTGTAATCGAGGGCGACTTCTAGTCGAGGAAATACGGTAGCCGGTAGCCATGGACAACTCACATCATTCCGACAGCATGACGGAGGCACACCACAGGCACTAATCACTTGGCGGAACGTTTCGCGCGTACAGTTGTGGTAGAGGTTGTTCTGAATCCAATCCCTTGGACCGCGTGCACCACAGCAACACAGCTAGAATAGGTTGGAAAGACACAGGGAGAGAGAAATGACAAGAAGGGCGGGGAAGAGGAGCAAGGGGAAGAAGGCATGAACAAGGAAGACACCAGTAGGCAGAAAATTAATACTTGTATTAGACCAGGACAGTAGGATGGTGTGAAGCCTCCCATGCAGCATCATTACCATCTACCGGACAGGGACAGGTCAAAGCTGTTTCTCAGTTACATGCCACGGGTGAATGTACCCCCTCACCCCCCCCCCCCCCCCCCCCACACACACACCTCAGACCTCAGACCTGCCCATCGCAGGAGGGATGATAGCGAACAGCTATGCTAGACATAGCAACTTGCACACACACACACACACACACACACACACACACACACACACACACACACACACACACACACACACACATACACACGCGCGCGCAGTTGGAATGCCACCACTATGTTTTCCACGACCCTATAACCTGATCCAGAAGCGAACATCAATTTCCAAGCTGCAAAAACCAGCCCACGTGCCACTACTCCCACCACACGCTGCAGGCCTGTTGGCTTTGCACGTACAACCACTCAAGGTCTCTGGGAACGCTGATGATGGCAGCAACATACCCAGACTTTTAAAAGAGACAACTCCTTACCGATTTCTGGATGGTTTCGACGGCATCATCAAGGTTAGTCTGCATGTTGGTGGTGCGGTACATCATTATCCCCTCCAGCATCTTATCTGATGCTTCATTTCGTAGCTACAAAGCGAAACAACAGCACAGAGATAAAGGCTGTTTAATAAGTATCAGATGAGCAGGGGGGGGGGGGGGGGGGCATTACTTCCAGACAATGCACCACCGTGCCATGACTCTCAGCGATCATTCTGGATGGGTTTCAAAAACTGGTCCAGTCTCACAGTACGAGTCATGCCACATTCCACTAGGCTATCAAATACAAAAGAATAACGACATTGAGCCACACTCGGCGGGCAGTCAGAGGTTACTTGTGCCAGAGAACAGCGCCTCCAAGCATAACATAATATTAACGGCTCACGGGGACTTGTTTTGCATTCCAGATTCTCATTTAGGAAACTTCACTTCTCAACTCCAAACTACAAAAACGGTCTGTTCACTGCGATCCAAATTAAAATTTACATTGCGCCAAATTTTCGGGCCTGGTCCATCATCAGGGTAATTACTCATTACGTTTTTGGAGTTTGAAGTCAAGAAGTGAAGTTTCCTAAAATTGTGTAAGTGGCTGCATTGGAGCTTGCGGACAATTGGAAAAGGGTTTCCAGATTCTCGCCGAAAAAGTCACGGAGCACCTGACTGTGGTATCTGTACTTTGGAAGTCATTATTTATTGACTTCTAAAGTACAGATACCACACTGACAACACACTAATATGATGAGATTAGTCTGCATGTATAGCAGCCATAGCGGAGAGATTAGCAGCAGCTGTAGAAACACTCACCTCTTCCTGGAAGACAAACGCCAGCACTCCACCTGCTATCTCCAGGAGAATAAGAATTGTGATCCCATAGTAATACTACAGAGCCGACCGGACACGGGAAACACGGAACGCACAGGTAGATAGCTCTAAGCAATGATCGCATGTACACTGCAGTGCCTGAAAGCAACAGATCATGGGCCCAACGCATCACCTGGGCAATCACTCCACAGCATATCACCACTGTACAGTGTACTTGCCCAACAAAGTTAGTTAGTTAGTTACCCTATCTACTCACTTCTCCACAGTCAACTGGGAACTTGTGGCCAGGCACAAGGGGTACATGGATGCGGCTAATGGGGTTTCTCGGCACTTGTGCCAGTGGTTGTGAGACGTATCCCCTTACCCTCACTGCTAGGCGCTGCATCTGCCGCTGGACCTATCAGCTGTGAGCGGTCGTCGTGAGTTTCCACGGGAATGGATACGGTAATGTACTCTTTTTCTCACTCAGTTCTCTGTGATGCTGCGTGCTCATACCGCTGAGATATTTTTTTAACCTTTTAAAGAAATGTACAGTGAAACCTGTCTAAGACGACCACTCAAGGGACATTCAAAATGTGGTCTCCATTGCCAGATGGTCTCCTTATCCAGGGTCATTTGACTGGAAATAGCATCCCTTGGTCCTGGTAGCAGTGGTCTTCTGGGACAGGTGGTCGCCTTATCCGAGTGGTCGCCTTAGACAGGTCTCACTGTGCTTGCAGTAGTGTGCTTACAATTTTCAACAGCATCACGTTCTCGCGCAGGGCGGCTCCTGCAGTGCCTCACGTGCCGAGAACTGTGGTACGTTTGTCTGACCTTCACTGGGACTGTGGTGAATGTGTACTACTGGCTGTACGTGTATGTGCCCTGTGATGCTGAACTGGCTGCTCTGTTCATGCTATGATCTGAGTCCTTGCAGCACGTGTGCTTACAATTTTCAAGAGCATCACGTTCTCGCGCAGGGCCCCGGCGGTGCCGCACGTGCCGAGAATCGTGCAAACCACGCCACTAGCGATGAGGATGATGGCCGGGTCGGTGCTGATGTTGGCCACGTCGTCAAAGTCGTTCTGCACCAGGCGACCGTACACGCCCACGACCAGAGCGGCAATGCCGCATAGCTGCAGAACAACAGGGGGAAGAACAGAACATGGGGCATGCGTTGTACACTTTCAGTGCCCAGTATCCAGTCCACTCGCTATACATCACAATACCGCTATAGGCAGTCACAAACACATGTGCGAGTAACAGATCACAGTTGTGTATGTGTGCGATCAGAGCGGCAATGCCGCACAGCTGCAGAACGGGGGGGGGGAGAACAGAAACACGGGCATGTGTTGCACACTTCAGGGGCGTCGGAAGATATCATCATCAACATTGGTACGGCTATGAAAGGGGATTAGAGGAGGATGGAGGCGAGGCCCTCCCCGTGGGAATTTTTGGAAAATTGGTCCCAACTGGCCCATATTTCATTGCTTCAAAAACACAAGATAAAATTATTGGTGCGGCTTTGGCCGCACCTACCGCACCGGTTCCGACGTCCCTGCACCTTCAGTGCCATCGAACTCAGTCAGTACACCAGAGTATTTTTCTCACAACTATAATAATATAAGTTATCTCAGGTTTGTGAAAAGGAGAAAAAAGAAGAGTATCTTCCTCGTTTGGAGCTTTTACTGTGAGGATATCTGTAGCAAACAATTCTTAGGCTACTCGTTGTGTTTGGCTGTGTAGTGGTACGCTGCCCTTATCTAGGTATTAAACTGTGCCCGCACTCACAGCCACGTCAGTGAGAGCTACAAGTTACACCGTACACATGGCTACTCGTGCAGCGGCTAGCCTTGTGTCATGCGGATTCTATGACATGACCAGCATGCTGTTTCAGGACGTCCAAGGTTGACTGTATCTGATGCTCTAAAGACCATGGCCTTATGCATAAGCATTCCGCCCAGGCTACCGTGCAAAAAAGCCAAAACGAGAGATAAACCTGTGCAAGTCCATGATTGCTCATGCTTCACACGTCTCTCACTGTCATAACAGTCATGATGCAAACAGTCATTATGATACTGCCGGTTTCCGGAAAAGATCGGAACAGTCAGTCCACTGTGCAAAACTAGCTAACTTGACCATCCCTGCTCTGGTCCTCAGATACCCCATCTTGCATTCTTGGCCCATGACTTCCATGCCGGTTCAGCTACAAATTCTACACTGATAAATTTACTAACTACTTGGCAAGGCACAGCACAATATTCACAACACACTGGGCAAGAAGAGAGTTGCGTCCGGGACGATTTCTTTGCCGCCTTGGCCTACATGTAGCGCCTCCAGCGTTTCCCATGCCTACCTAAAACACGTCCGGCCAACGACCAACAACAGCCTACACGATACTTCCAGTGCGTATCTACTTGTTGTACAAAAGTCATTGTAGTTCTAAGCCCTCTCCTCGGAGCTCCATTCCACGCAAGGGGTTTAGCCAGTATTGCATCGTTTATGGCTTCGTCCTGCAGGTGTCCCAAGATTTGGAGCGCAACTGAACAACTCCTTTCATTCATTACTCGCCTCTATCTCCCACACCACGCGCTGTGACAAGGGCCATACCGCGGCTGTCCAACAAACAAAATACCTCTCGTGGGCTGTGTGTTCGCTGAACAGCCCATGACCAACCGCTAACTACTTCACGCTGTCCTCAAAAATACCTTGTGACAAGGTCAATCAAACCGAAAAGCGCTGTCATGATGTGTTTGTGTCATCTTTTTTCTTGTCGCGCTGACTGTTGGCACGGGAGGGGGCGAGGCACCCAAACAACAACGACGTTACGTAACAATACAACACTGACCACAATCGGACAAGGGAGAACTCCTCACTACTCTATACTCACCAGCACGAGAAGGTTGAAGGTGAACAGCGTCCACTTCACCAACGGTGAAACTTCGGCACCTCGAGGCATACTGGAACCGAGCGCACTAGCGTATCCCCCTTGGCCAGGATCGGGCTAGGCTGCCTGACCGTTCCGACTAGCGTTTGCTTCCTGGACTCTCTCGTGGCAGGCCAGGTGGGATGGGGTGGAAAACCTCGCACTAGTACTTTCACAGTCGACTTCCAGGCGTTGTCGCGCCGAGCATCACAGCCAATCCCCACTGCCCTGACGTGATCTTGCACAAACAACCTGCATTCCCCGCTAGACGGGTTTATTCAGCCAACCCGTCACTTACTCCAGCACTATGAACCTTCCTTGGTTTTGTGTCTGTGCAGCACAGCGTTCTCTGAGTTTCGTAAAGAAAGCGAGTATCCAAGTGCCAGATGCTTTGGCCTGGGCAGTCACTCAGTAAACTGCTTGGTCCGATCCGGTAGACCACTGGCACTGGAAAAATATTCTCAATCACGACAGTTCCACTACACGTCTTTATTATTTTTACTACCTTCTGCCTGTTCCACAGGTCTGCATGCAAGGCTGGCACTGTGGCAGGGCAGATCTACCAAAAACCTACCCCGCTGTATATATCATGGTACATACACGGTCGGGGGTTACTCTATCATCAGTCTGTTCACTATGTTGAGGGCACCCCATGGCCCATCATGTACGATGTAGATCTACTCATGCCCGAGTCGGAGTCATGGACATGGTCATGGGTCACATAAGTCATTGGGTGGAGGTCTACTTGCCTCCTGCCACTGACTCCAGACATGACTGATGATTGTTGTAATCATGGTAATACCAGTATTACTACTAATCTTGAAGATTTTGACCTGGAACAACAATCAACATGACGGTGACTACATGAGACTCAAGAGAGCCAGGCAGGAAGGCCAACCGGTGACCCGGTCTGCCTTTGTTTCTAGCCAAGCCCGGGCCTTGGTCACAAGTAAATAGTTGGTGTTGTAGATCAGTGTAGATCTACATAGTACATGTACTAGTACTAGTAGTATGTCCCAACTTCTGAACCGTAATGTTGTTCCTTGTTTGTTCAGAGTTCAGTGATGTTGGGAGGTATCGTCCTATCGAAGTGTGCTTTGATGTCACTGTTCACATGACTTTGGCTCACACAAAAACAGTCATTATTTTCGACTGTCATGAAAATAATGACTGTTTTTGTGTAATATTATTATACATAGACGGCAGAGTTGTGACTACTGGCAGTACTGAGTAGTCATGGAGGTCACAAGCCAGTGCAACTGCAACAAGCCAGTGTACAGGTGTAGTCGCTCTCTCCGATCAGACGACCCACTTCACTTGAGTACGAGATGTAGGCTCATACTGTCATAGTCATACAGCTGGAGTCGAGAGCACTAATACTAATAGTCTATGTTTGGAGGTGCCACTAGTGAAGTGGAAGTGCACTACGCCACTAGCTGTCGGTAAAATGGTTAGTGCATCCGCAGTCCTGCTCGCAACTTTGACGCAAGACAAGTAAACGGTTACCGGTAGTTAGTTTGATAAGAGTGATCTGCTTGGTGTCTGTGGATTTCAATCATTTGGTCAGCAAAGCCGTAGCCCCAGAGATTATGGGAAGTTCTGCAAACTAATCGGATCGTTCGCAATTTCGGAAGGCCCACCGACTCCTTCGGAAATCCGCACGCAGGTTCAGGTGTGGGAAATAGCCAGTGGCCGTTTCACGAAGTTTTCATTCCATTTATTCATAATTATGGAGACGATTCTGAAAGGCTTGATGACACTGCACGTGCATGTCTGTACTGCTGTGGTGTGGAGATATACAAGTACGAGGATGCCTGACGGTCTGTGATGAGCAAGCAGTCTTGGAGTCAGATCGCTGCCCCCCCCCCCCCCCCCTTGGTCTACCCCATGGGGCGCTGTCGGCTATCCTATGGGCCCAGAACGTCCACCACCATGACCACCGTGGTCTGCCAGTCCAACCCTAACTTGCCTAAGCATCCACTGACTACTTGCAAGTAGCATAGTAATATTAGTTGCAGCTGCACAGACGCCAACAACTATTACGACTGTCGGAGGTACTGCGGTGCGTGCTTGCACCAGGTCAGGCAGGCAGGCATGCAGTGGTATCACATTACTATTAGTGTATGAGGTTTGGTGCGATGGATCGGCCAGGCCAGGCAAGAGGGTGCTGGTGGACTGTGGTGGAGGCAGATACGTCATGACTGATGATGACTGAACACAGCCAGCCGGCAGGCAAAATGGTTTCTGGTGGCTACATGTACATGATCCAATTGAAATGGAAACGCGGCGCTACTTTGACCCGCGGGCCGGATTTCTTTGGTCACGACTATAGCATTAGCAGTGTGTTCCACTGAACCCGGTCTGCCAACCGGAGGGAAAGGCCCAGGGATGGTTTATGCTATTCGAGAGTCCTCCTTCATTCTTTGCGACGTGACTCTCACACATTCTGCACATGATTGGCCCCAAAGCCATCCGTACATGACCCCCCCCCCCCCCCCATGCCCAAACGACAAGATGTGCTAGGTTGATGGGTTTCGCTGCATCAAGAGCACATGACCAGATGACCCAGTCACCCAGGCCAGGGGTCTGGAGGTTCAGGCTTCAGCATGAGTTTTTCTCTTTTTTTTCTTCTCTTTTATGTCCACTCCACTATACTCGTATGATCATCCCGCCCCCCTTTTTTTAATTTAAAAAAAGTTTTTGGTTGACCCACGGCCACGCAGAGCTGCGATATGCCGACCTGTCAACACCGACGATGTCATCGCTGTTACGGAGACAAAATTCTCAACCGCAAAGGTCACTGACAGTGAGGTCTGTCTGTCCGGATACGCTCCCCCAATCCGACATGACAGAAACGCTCATGGAGGCGGAGTTGCCATCTGGGTGAAATCAAACATGGCCTTCCAGCACCTGGACCGGTTCAGCACGGAACACCACGAAGTGATATGGATATCTGTATCAACAGCTAGCCGGTCCAAGATTGTTATCTGTGCACTCTACCGATCAGGCTCCACAGCCGGGACAGATGATGGAGCTGATCGAATACCTTGATACCCACCTAGATGAGGCCCGCAGCCACGGTGACTATGTTATCCTCGCAGGGGACTTCAATGTCCACAATGCAGCATGGCTAGGGAGCACCAAGACTACCTCGGCAGGAGAAGCAGCGGAGGAACTCTGCTATGTTCATGGCCTGGAGCAACATGTCAACATCCCCACACGTGGAGACAACACCCTGGACCTTGTGATGTCTGACTTCAGTGAACCGGTTCAGGTGAAATGCCATGCCCCACTGGGGTCCTCTGACCACGCTGTCCTCACCATGGACTTCCCTATCTCTGCGTTCCGTGAACCAAAAACCACACGCACTGTCTGGCGGTACAACCAAGCAGACTGGAACCGCCTCTGTCACTTTTTCCTAGCCTATGACTGGTCAACTGCCTTCACCACCAGCGCTGATGAGTCGTGCGCCAACATCACCGAAGTTATCCTCCAGGGTATGTCACGTTTCATCCCATCCCGGCAACTCACATCCCGGCCGACGGATCCAGCTTGGTGGACCCCTGAGTGCACGGATGCCATAAAAGCAAAAGAGAGGGCTTGGGCTACTGCCAGACGGCAGAAGTCAATAGCAGCGCGGCAGACAGCCTCAGCAGCCACTCTACGTTGTAATGACATCTTCCAGCATGCTAAGGTGGCCCGCCTGGCTACCCTGCGTACTAAGCTCTCCAAAGCTAGCCTGAGTGACCGCTCGTGGTGGTTTACCATCAAGCAAGCAGGTGGCAGCAGCAGAAACACGTCCATCCCAACTCTTACGCCGCAGCCTGGTTTGGAATGCGTATCGAATGCCGAAAAAGCTGAGTGTTTTGGGCAGTATTTCGCCTCAAAGTGCAGCCTGGGCGCCGACGACTTCCCCGCCAACCAAGCAGCGACTGATTTCCCCCACGTTGCTCAGCGCACGGCTGAAAAGCTCTCAACGGTTCGGTTCCGCCCTGCCACTGTCAAGAGAGAACTCCGACGCCTAAATGCATCGAAAGCTACTGGACCGGATTGCATTCCCGCGCGAGTTCTGAAGATGTGTGCCGACCCCCTAAGTAAGCCACTCTCCAAACTGTTCTCCCTTAGCTTCTACAGCATGGTTATGCCGACATCCTGGAAGACAGCTAGAGTCACACCCATTCACAAGAAGAAATCCAAGAACCTGCCTCAACACTACAGACCTGTGTCTCTGCTGTCTATCATATCCAAAGTGATGGAAACAATTGTCAATCGTCAGATAACCAGTTTCGTGGAGTCCCACAATGTCATCTCTGCGAAACAGTTCGGGTTCAGAAAGGGCCTGAGCACAGCCGACGTCTTAACCAAGCTCCACTGTGAATGGTCCCGAGCAGCCGGCCTAGGAGGAGCCGCCCATGTTTTGGCGATAGACATAGCAGGCGCCTTTGATAAAGTCAGCCATGCTGGCCTGCTGCATAAGGCTTCCGTGTACGGTCTAGACGGCCCGCTTCTCGGATGGCTGGAAAGCTACCTGCACAACCGGCGCCTGCAGGCTGTTGTGGGCGGCCAAGAGTCCTCCCTGCACCATATCCAAGCAGGGGTACCACAAGGTAGCATCCTTGGACCAACGTTATTCCTCCTGTACGTAAATGACTACGAGGACACCTTGCCTGCTGGTGCTGAGCTTGCCACGTATGCAGATGACACGACACTGTATCAGTGCATCTCTGCCACCGCCAGCATATCCGACTCTGCAGCACAACTCCAGGAAGCAGTGGACGCCGTCTCCCACTGGGGTTCCAAGTGGAAGGTCACCTTCGAGCCATCCAAATCTCAGGCCCTCATCATCGACCACCGCAAGCCTCCCCCAGCGTTCCCACCAGTGCTCTTCAATGGAGTGACTGTTCCTGAAGAGAAGGAAATTAAACTTCTGGGCATAGCATTCGACTCGCAACTGTCCTACGCAGCACACCTCCGGGCCGTGGCCTCAAAGGCTGCCCAACGCCTACACTTCCTGAGAAAGGTTGTGCCCCTGTTGGACTCCAGTGGCCGCACGGCAGTCTACAAAGGCTTCGTGCGGCCAACAATGGAATACTGCTGCCTGGTGTGGATGGGGTCAGGTACATCCAGACTGGACAAAATCCAGCACAAGGCACTGAAGGTGATTGGCCCAGGCGCCTGGCTCCCCAGCCTGAAACACCGCCGACTGGTTGCTGCGCTTTCGTTCACGTTCAAGCTGTCTTACCTTCCAACAACAAGCCCCCTGAAGCCCATCCTCCCACCTCCAGCCAATCCCCGCCCAGTGGGTGGTCGATCCACTAGGTTAGCCACGGAGACTGCCCACTGCCACCCGCTCCAGCTCAAGTCGACGCTGCCCGTGCGCATTCGTAGCAGCCTCCAGGGTTCCTACCCAGACTGCATTATTCCCTTGTGGAACAGCCTACCAGCGACCATTCTACCAGCACGGCCGCAACCCAGCCAGCTCCAATCATTCAAAGAAAAATGCAACAAGTATCTGCTGCACCTGAACTGGCAAGCAGCCACCGACGCCCTATGAAACGGTTTAGACCAGTGCCTCACTAGCATCCTCCCCCCCCCCCCCCCTTACCACAATGTGACGTTATCTTTCACTCTGCTTCTCTCACGACCATCTACCCATTGTCCTTGTTTCTCACTATTATTCATTTCCCCTCTTCCTCCTCTCTACATGGTTTTACTGCATTATGGCGCCCTTTGTCTGCGTAGACGCCGAGACCTTTGAGGTCGGCAGAGCAGCCTGGCCCCGCCACCACTTCTCGCACATATTCGGGAATATAGTGGACTTTCGTATAAAAAAATAATAAAAAAATAAAAACAAAACCGACGTGACTCGTCAGCGCAGCGTGACTGGGTCCATCATGCGATGCTACGGACAAGGACTTGAACAAGTAACAGGCGACGAAGTGTGGTCTAGTAAAATGGAGCACCGCGTGTACGAGGACGTCACCGTGCGTAGTCCTCAACTCCTCGTACTCGAGAGTCGTACCGTTGCTGTGTCGTTGATGATGGATGAATGGAAGCCAAAATGTTCAAATAATTAGCGACATTACTGAGTGTTCATTTAGTTGTTGCAAGTGAAATTGGAATTGTTTGGCCTTGCACACTATTGGCTGCAGGTCATGCCCAAGCATGGGGATTGATTATCGTCTGTCCTTCAGAAAGCTGGCAACGGGAGCGCTGTGCTCGGTGGCTGCATCGCTTGTGATATGCGTGACGAGTGGACTCTATTTTGGGTTCAGCAAAGTCACCCAGACACATTGCCGGGTAACGCTCCTGCTGCTGTATTAATTTTATTGCTGATAGTGCATTGCATATTGATCGTGGGGTGTTCCTCTCAAAGAAGGCATGGTCATCGCCTTGATGTTAGGCGAATGCTATGAAAGGAGTGGGCTATAAATATTTATTCAGTGGTTCACAGTTGTCTATACTAAAGTCCTTAGGCTGCTTACAGTGCTCAATGTCCAGTGGACAGAGCCAGTAATACAAATATTACGCAGCAATGAAGCAAACAAAATCCTTTCCGCTGTTACTTGGAGTTTCGTGTGAAAACACTCATCAGACAGCATATGACCAAGACTAACAATCACTAGAATAATAATCGGAGAGTCTTGAGAAAAGAGAGCAGAGGTGATGGAGGTACAACATTTCAATAGCGCGAGGAAAAGGGGGTGGCAAAATCAGCGTGATTATAAGAGGAAAAAGATGTTGAGAGTATAGAGCATAGCCTGGGTAGAGGAACAGCGTGATTCTCTGGCAACACATCAGTACAGATTTTTGCTGCATTGTGACACATGACATTCTGACCTAGGGTGATAAAAATGGTGATGGGGATTGTGCGTAGTGGGAACCACTCACGCCAGGTAAGGGGGTGACTACCACACCCGCCAAGGCATCGAAAAACCGGCGACAGAAGCCAAAACCCGCCAAAGCATGTGAGCAATGAGCCCTGGGGAGTGCTCACCATTCCCGCGCCCCGCGGAACCCAGCCCCGACCCCCGACGGGCAAAGCAGCCACCCCCAGCCTGGCGTGGCTCATGTATTTGTCGTTCATCATATTACCCTGCTGAGTTAAACTTGTTGGCATGACGGCATTTGTCTGATGAGTTGTTTTCACACGAAACTCCGAGTAACAGCGGAAAGAGGTTTGTTTGCTTCATTGCTGTGTAATATTTGTATTCAGTGATTCAAGTAGATTTTTGCTGAAAGAATTGTGTCAAGTGGAATCAGAGTGATGCGTTCATATCATACAAAGTGAAATTAGAGACGCAAGACGAGAAAGTACCCTACTCCCCACCCCTGCCCTTCGCCAAATTGCCCTACCCAGGGGCGCTGCACTCCCCCAGGGTTACCAACCCCGGGCTGTGCAGTACTCATGGGGTCGGGTTGAAATTGCCACGGCACCACATGTAAGTGCTGGCGTTGAATCAGTTAGCTGAGCTCCAGGGAGCGAGTCATCGATATCACCATACGTGTCGAACTTTTGGTGTGATTCTGAATTGCGGGCATACCCGAGATCCGGACATGTGTTGGTCATGAGGTGATCGGATGAGAGCTGGCCTATTGTACCGCGTGCATGGTTCATTAAAATTGGAAGTCGTTATGTACGAAACGATATGTACATGTACAGTCACTTTGCCGGTTTTGACAGACAGAATTTGTTAGGATTTTACCTCGCTAACCCAAGAAAATCCGGAGATCGTTGATTTTAATTGACGTTAAAACATCTGGTCTTACAGTACAGGCAGGCCTCGCTTATCCGGTCCTCTTTTTTCCGGATCCCTCACCATCCGGAAACTCGCTGGTTACCGATTTAATGCATATGTCATGCATACATACAGTATGTGTGTTCGATTATCCGGTTCCCTCGCCTATCCGAACATTTTTGTGGATAACGGAATTGTGCGGTTAAGCGAGGCCTGACAGTATTATGATTATAGCGTCCTCTGCCTATGTCGGTTTGGCTGGATTCTCTATTCTCCCCCTGCAGTCGTATGAATTCCTGCCCTCGCTCAGCGCCGTGCTTGACTACAATGGCTATCACAGGATCATCACGCAGATACCTATTTTAATCCATTGTATTTTCCACTCGGTGACTATACTGCTTGCGTATCGACACCACCAGTCGAATTCGACGCGCATCAGCCTTCTCGCGATCCGTAGCTATTCGCCCTGGGCAGGCTTGCTAAATCTATTCATTGCCGTGGTGGATGCCGTCAGCCTTGGGGGACTGCTCACGCTGGCGTTCATCACCTCCTCGCTATACTTTGGTAGGTAGAGTGCGTGCATGTTGTATGCCCGTACATGTATGTCTGTGTTAACTATCAATGTGTGTGTGTGTGGGGGGGGGGGGGGGTTGCAAGTGCCTGTATGTGTGTGTGTGTGTGTGTTCATTTTGAGTTTTGAGTCTCTCTCCCCTCTCCCAGGGAGACCCACGTGACCAATTTTGGCAGTGAGCAAGTACAAATGTGTGTGTGTTTGTGTGTGTGTTTGCATGCTGCGTACGCGCACGTCTGTTGGGAGAACAGAAAGAGAACATAATTACAAAGTACAGCTTTCAAGATTTGAAATTTGTTCCTTCTGGTATTAGTCAGCTATTGCTCTATGGCATTTACTCCTGGATACTTCGAAGGAAGCAATGCTTCAATAAGCGATCAGAGTGTAATCCCAGGACGAAAACATATTTACTCAGCCCCTCTCTCCGTCTCTCTCTCTCTCTCTCTCTCTCTCTCTCTCTCTCTCTCTCTCTCTCTCTCTCTCTCTCTCTCTCTCTCTCTCTCTCTCTCTCTCTCTCTCTCTCTGTGTCTCAGCTGTTCACAAGAATGGCATGATAGTGTTCATGTTGGCCACCACCCTGCATATGGGCCTGGGTTCGTATCAGCAATGGTCGCACTCTTCCTTCTCCAGCAAGGCACCAGGCCAGAAAGAACAACAGCAGCAGCAGCACATCCAACTGCAGGTTAGTCACCCGGGCATGCATGGTGTGATTGCCATCAGCCTAGCATTGTAGTCCATGTTCCAATCCAAGTGTATGTTTCCCCGGAGTAGTGGTGTGGTGTAGGGCAGGCTTGGTAAGGAGTGATTACACTTGTCCTGTGTACTTCTGTTCCGTTCACAACGTGCTGAAAGACTAAGCACAACTGAACCTTAAAATAAGTGCGACTGGTCTGAAGCGTTACTTTTCAACACTGACAGTTCATTCTATGATTTTGAAGCATCTCATTGGGTTATTAATTTATCAATGTGTAGGAAAAGAGCAGAACGATTGTCAGGTGACAAGCCACCTTCTTCTTCTTCTTCTTCTTCTTCTTCTTCTTCTTCTTCTTCTTCTTCTTCTTCTTCTTCTTCTTCTTCTTCTTCTTCTTCTTCTTCTTCTTCTTCTTCTTCTTCTTCTTCTTCTTCTTCTTCTAGTGTTGTGCTGACAAAATGCTGTGTGTGTGGGCGGGTGTGTATGTGCGTATGTGTGTGTCCCACCCGTTCACTTTGTTACTCACATACTGCACTGATTATGTCCATGCGTGTGTGTGTTTCTTGTTGCTGACCTACCAGGTGGCGAAGTCACTGCGTACCAAGCTGTTCTGCTGTGCCATCAGTGTTCTGTGTGTATTCGTTGGTGGTGCGCTGTACCAGAACCACAACGCCTACTGTAAAGCCTACTGTATCCTCCTTACCTTATCCTGGCTTGCTTTGTGTACGCTGGTGACATGTTATAGCAAGAGCCCATAATCCCCAGAGTGCACAGCTGGAATGGGGTTGTGGGACGGCGTAATCTGTAGTGTACGTCATTTTTTGGGTCGGACTTGCGTCATTCCGTCGACGCGGTCCACCACGGAAATGTCACGAGTACTCATGATGTCACACTATGACGTGCAACACAGATTTCGCCGTCCCAGATCTAATCAGTGAAGTAACTTAATTGCACACTCTGGGGATAATGGACTCTTGGTTATAGAAACAAAGACTATAATTTATTATAACCGCCCGAGAGTGTGCAACTCTGCACGTGGGTGTCCGACAGCGGAACTCGCATCATGTGATTTCCAAGTGCGTACAACGAATGCCGGCCTAGCCTGCGTGCAGTCCGGATATCTGCCGCCATGATTATATATTATTGATGACTCGCGTGCATCAGCTGAGTGGATTTCTCTCTGAGTATTATTTTCACTACTCCAGTGCTCGCTAAGACTAGACTGACAATGTAGAAGATGAACACTACACCACTTGGTGTGAGTTTTCGCTGGCGGTGGACCTCGCAGCAAACCCACACAGAGTTGCACGCACTTGGAGGGTTATGCCCTCTCTGGTAGTAATTGTGAATCTTGTGATCTTGTTGGGACGTGTGCTTAATGCTGAATACTTGCTGGAAGCAAGGCGTATACGTTTGGTCGGCTTCCCACTGCTTTTAATAGCTACTGCGGGGTGTGCGTTGTCCCTTCCTAAGGCACCTACTGATGGCTTTGTCATGGCTGCTTTTTGCTTTGTAAGTTAGGATCATACGACAGTGTTGTCTTAGGGGTTTTCCCTTCTAACCAGCTTTTTAGCTGCATGCAGGGTCGCATGTCTTTTTTCTTCGACCGTGGTGGTCGTGGTCTGTCATGGGCATGGTCCGCACAGCCCTTGAAAACCCTAAAATATACCTATTAGGCTAACCAGAGGGTGTACCCAGTGTGCTGACAGTGCTCAACACCGCGGAGGCAGAGCGTATTAGGCTAACAAAATCCCAGTAAAGAATACACTGAAAACCCCTAAATCTGGTGAAAATACATGGCTTGTCCTGAAAAATCCACATGTTTGCTTCCGCTTTTGTCTGTGATTGAATTGAAGGCTCCTTGACATGTGTGTATGCGCGCTGCAGCCTACAGCATGTTTGCTGTGTGCGAGTACGTGGCCGTCAGCAATGCCCTGGTGTTCCAGCACTCGAAAGTGTGCGACCTGCCTCGCATGCACTTGTCGCTGTCCTACTCCGACTCAATCACGTAACAGCGGTGCTGCGGTGGCAGCGTGGTGTCACGCACCGTTTCCAGTTGTGCACTGGGTAAGTCCAGCACCTCGTTAGGACCTACACCATGATTGTAACTGCTGCAAACTGTTCACAAGATGAGGAGTTTCTCTTTTGTATCTGTGAAGTGTTCGTCTTGACAGGTTTTACCAAGAGTAGATAAACAAGAGTGTGCAACTCCGGATCTCTCCTGCACAATCTGCAGATACCCCCGCCCACGGCGGAATTTTTTGTTGACGTTACCTTTTTTCAGAGAAGCGCGCATTTTGCCGCAGAGCAGTGCGAGAGCACGTGCTGGGCACCGACCTTGTAGTGTAAAGCCCGGCCAAGTGCACGAGGGAAAACTTTCCAAAAGACTCGCAGCGAGTGCGTCGTCGAAAAGATTACGTCAACAAAAAATTCCGCCGTGGGCCAACCCATCCGGAGTTGCACACTCTTGTTTATCTACTCTTGGTTTTACTGTATACGGAAATTGTTCACTATATACGCTGAGAGCTCCACTTTGGTACTTGAGCTTTTGTATCCAGTGCTGTGTGGTTGTTTTGCCAATGGGGATGTTCCAAGAAGAAAGGCATTACACAATCCGTACAATGAACGTCTACTATGTGTACGGGTCACGCATTTGACGCTGTTGTTTTGCCTCTTCTTCCTTGCACTGTTTCTATCACCTCTCTGCAGTATTTAATCCATTGTCCTGGTTCATTTGATTTTGCCTGTATTTCACCTGATGAGGCATGAAAGTACACTGGTGAAACACTTTCAAAATGTTGAACCTGAAGTATGTCCTACTGTAAGACATGTTATTATAACGAGTCGCAAATTTAACGATTATCCAAAATTCATTAACGAGAAGATATGTTAACGATCTTGCAGTATTCTGCCATATCCACACACAGCATATATGAAACAGTACGGCCTCAACGGATCTTATAACGAAGAAATGTCATCCGTTAAAACGTTAGTTTTGCTTCCTCGTTATATATACATGTCTTACAGTACTTCTAAGTATAACTACTATAAAGCTTTTGTTTTCTATGGCTTGAGTCCATGACGTTCCCCTTGCTTCAACTGACATTGTCCTTTTGTTTGCTGCGTGTAGGATGCTGTGGATTGTGTACGGTCGTGAGAGGTAGCGGAGGACACTCGGCCAGCGGTGGTTCCGACTGTTGCCAGCCCCTGTAGCTAAGTTACATCAAGCACTGTAGTGTTCTGCGGCGGCGCCGTCGGGCTGGTCGGCCCTGCGCACCAGGTCAGCTACAGGGGGAACTCATCACAGCACTGCTTACAAGTAGTCTTCAGCGTCGTGTACAGTGCTTGCTAGCGGTCAGCACGGCACACAGTTGTATGCCCTTGCAGGTACATGTACAGTTGCACCTCACGTGTAGAGAGCTTACTAGCGCACTTGCACCCAACGTGTACAGCGCTTACTAGCGCAATTGCACCCACTAGGCAACTGACGTTTGTTGTACAATGCACAGACGTAATGCTGTCCACACTGACCAGTGACTTGCCCTGCAGGTCACTGCTACTAGTACTTATACTGATAACGAAACGCACTGTTTGCTCATCACATAGCATTGATCTTGCTGTAGCCAAGTTGACCAGCCTCTTCAAGTCAGAATTTTGTTCCGGGCAATGAGAGTTTACGTCTAACTTCAATATATTTTTACTGTTGGACATTGACACAGGATTTCTTCCTCACCCTGACCAGGTGCGCTGATTCCAGCACCCATCGACCCCCATTGCCCCCCCCCCCCCCCTTTCCGGAGCTCCCTCGGGCTTGATTTTTAATTTACCTTTCGTTTTCAACTTTTTATTAAAAATTTGAAAGACTGCATGGATGACCTGTGTGTGGTGTGCATGCATGTGCTTAAAATGTATTGCCCTGTGAATTACTGTACATAAGGGAGGGGGCAAGTGGGGAATGATCGGTCTGTTATGGCAGCTGCCCCATACATGTTGTTCAGTCTGTACTGCAATGTGAGGACCCGGTATAGACCCTTTGTATAGGGACGGTCCGCGGAGTTGCTCTCGCCGGTCGAGATCCTGTGAAAACATTTGAGTGAGTGGAGAACATATGGGGGCGGGGCTGTTTTGCACTGTAACGGATACAAAAGGGCGGCGGAAAATTACTTAGACTGGAGTTACTTTATGCATGACTGTACAACACTCGTGTTGGTCAGAGAGGCTCCCGGCCGGGTAGAGCCGGAAGATTATTGTATAGGCATATAGGGCACATGCATTCTGGCATGATCGGTGTGATCACAGACATATTGCAACCTGCAGCCCGGTCCATAAAGACGCGTGTAGTCAGTGCCTCATGTGGCAAGTGTTTTGCCTTTGTTCGCTTGTTATGGTCAGGGCCTAGCCTCCAGTTGCGACCTGGTACCCATGCCATGGCATTTGCAGTATTAAACAAAGTGGTGCGTCGACAGTCAAATACTGCCTATAACTTCCTTGACCAGTGTGGTGAGCCATGCACGTGGTCAGAAAGGAGTGGCACTTCGGATCCAGCTGTTGGTTATTCTCGGTAGCTTCCTGTCAGCTGGCTCTAAAAGTATATTCGTATTTCAAGTGAGTTCAGAAATTCGCCGGTTCCACTGCCGGGAAAGTATCAAATTTGATACTTTCCCGGCAGTGCTACAGTATACCCACTGGCTAATTTTTAATCACAACCATATCAATGATCTAATGTTTAGCAAACGTTTTATGTTGCGTGTAATTGTTGCATGCTGTACAAATATCAGCCGCAAAAGTGGCATGCAATGTTATGGGCTCAATATGCTGCCATTTAGGGACGTGGATACCACTCAAAGATACCATGACTTGAGGTAGCAAAAATCCATAACCGGTTAGCCACCTCAAATTACCGTACTATGAAATAGGAATACGGATTGACTGCCACAAGTGTACAATGTACAGGTCGTACGCCCGCAGGACTCGCGCACCCACCCTTTCTCGGAAACACGACCACTTAGCAAATCTGCAAGAAAGCACCACTCCCTGTTCAATACACAGTGTCTGGGGGAATCCCTCCCTCATCAGTTGGGCTCGAGTAGGCTGAGGAAGATTGTGCCTGAAGACTGTGAAGAGCACCACATATATAGTGCTCTCCAGGCCAACATATCACCAGAGATACAAACTCACGAAGACGATCCATTTCCAGCACGACACACACATTGTGAGAACCGGATAGCAGCGCGAGTCAGTGTCGCTCATGGATAGGTAGAACAGATGCTGAGGACCCTTGGTCATTCGCAACGCTGTCACGTCCAAACCAACTAGTCACAAGCCCGCGCTGGGCACAGCAGTACGAAACAGTGCAGGGCCGGAGGAAGGAGTTCGGAAGTGGTCCGGCCAATCTTTGAGGGGGTCTGGGGGACCTCCCCCGGGAGAAATATTTAAAATTTACGTGAAATAGAGCGAATTTGGGCATCTCTAAGCCGGACTAAGGCTCCAGAAAATGCAGAAAATTATAGTAAAAGAACACAAACACAACTTTTTTTTATCCATATCAGCCATACAGTGCCGGTCACGGAGTCCTGAGTCATGAGCTACTTCGAAGCACATCACACGTCAGCAGTACAGTCGAGTCATGTACCTCTGGATTTTTTTACACCGGTTTTGCACGAATCACATGGACCATCCAGCTGGGAAAGTGGTCCGGCCATGGCCGGATCAGCCTGACCGGTTCCGCCGGCCCTGCAGTGGTAGCAACTTAAAGCGCCAATTCTGAGGTGGCAGTGTTACAAATGACCAGACCAGGATCCTCAACTTACTTCTGTCCTACCATCATGTTGAGTATGTGGCCATTAGCAGGAACTGAGTTTGGTTGTGTGTCAGAGACAGTATGTGCTATGGGCCGATGGGGCCTGGGATTCGGATTGTAATGACAATGCACACTGTAGCTACACTGTCTGTAGTTCAAACTGTTGCAACAAAATCATATCAGTTATTCATTCAGTCATTTACCATGTTTACTGGATTAGACGTTTTCAAATGAACAGTGCAAAGCCTGGCCCTAGCTCCACCAGGCCCGAGAGACAGCCCTTGTATGAACACTTCATGATAACTTCATGTAACACAATGTTGGGTGATGCTGACGGTCTATAGTTTTCTATAACACGTCTGTAGTCCAACTCAAACAAATTTCCGCGTCGGAAAGCGGACACGAGTCGCATTCACAGAAGTACGAGTACAGGAGTATGAAGATATATGCACGTACCCCACAGCAGCAGGAAACAGCCACGGGCCCCACGGCTGCAAGGATTCATGTCAGATTCATAAGCACCGTGTTCAAGCTCAAGACTCCTGTGTTCTATCGATATCTTCATCAAGCGTCACGCTGGTGGCCGGCAGTGTATTTGCAGACGGCAACTGCTGGCAACCAGCACTGGTCGGACACTTGTGGCAGCTAGCAGTGCAGATAATCAATGTCGTGGTGGCGTCGCTACTTTACCTGTCATCAGTTTCAAGCTGAGCACAAAGCTGTTCAGTTTTCGCTGGCCTTTTGAAGGAATGCGTCGATACTGCGGTACGCTTTTGCTGTTTGGAGAACGCGCATTCATCCAAATAAAATCCACTACAGAACACTCAGCTCAAGTCAGGGCTGACTGGACAGGATTCTCGAAATTTTCCGCTTCATCTTGAACTCTTGACATGGATTTCAAGTGCCTTTGTCGCTGGGTTTGTTTCTGTTTGCACTTTTCCTGGGTTGATGTCCGCGAAGTGTCACCAACACGTGCTAGCATCATCATGACACATACACTGTACAGCAATGTACGCATGATCTGGATCAGACTGGATGCTTCACGAATGAGTCATCCATCTACGACTGACGTAACTTGCTAAGTTTAGGGGCCCTTTCGGGCCGAATGACGTAGTCGGAAACGCCTCCCGCCAAATGCAGCCAATGAGCGAGTGGAGTTGTACCCGCGTGATGAATGCAAAAGTCGCAATAAAAGGAGAGAAACCCAGCTGCACAGCATTTTCAGAAGTGAAGATAGCTTGGTTCACTTGCTACTGTTTTTGAAGCCTTTTTCTAAACTACAACAGTTCTTCAACTTTCTTTTTCAAGATGCAGATCTTCGTGAAGACTTTGACTGGCAAGACCATCACTCTCGAGGTCGAGCCAAGCGACACTATCGACAATGTGAAGACCAAGATCCAGGACAAGGAGGGTATCCCCCCAGACCAGCAGCGCTTGATCTTCGCCGGCAAACAACTCGAGGATGGCCGAACCCTGAGTGACTACAACATTCAGAAGGAGTCCACTCTTCATTTGGTACTTCGTCTCCGTGGTGGAATGCAAATCTTCGTGAAGACTTTGACTGGCAAGACCATCACTCTCGAGGTCGAGCCAAGCGACACTATTGACAATGTGAAGACCAAGATTCAAGACAAGGAGGGTATCCCCCCAGACCAGCAGCGTTTGATTTTCGCTGGCAAGCAGTTGGAAGACGGCCGAACCCTGAGTGACTACAACATTCAGAAGGAGTCCACTCTTCATTTGGTCCTTCGTCTCCGTGGTGGAATGCAGATTTTCGTCAAAACTCTTACTGGAAAGACCATCACTCTCGAAGTTGAACCAAGCGACACTATCGACAATGTGAAGACCAAGATTCAAGACAAGGAGGGTATCCCCCCGGACCAGCAGCGTTTGATTTTTGCTGGCAAGCAGTTGGAAGACGGACGAACCCTGAGTGACTACAACATTCAGAAGGAGTCCACTCTTCATTTGGTCCTTCGTCTCCGTGGTGGAATGCAGATTTTCGTGAAGACTTTGACTGGCAAGACTATCACTCTCGAGGTCGAGCCAAGCGACACTATCGACAATGTGAAGACCAAGATTCAAGACAAGGAGGGTATCCCCCCAGACCAGCAGCGTTTGATTTTCGCTGGCAAGCAGTTGGAAGACGGCCGAACCCTGAGTGATTACAACATTCAGAAGGAGTCCACTCTTCATTTGGTCCTTCGTCTCCGTGGTGGAATGCAAATCTTCGTGAAGACGTTGACTGGCAAGACCATCACTCTCGAGGTCGAGCCAAGCGACACTATTGACAATGTGAAGACCAAGATCCAGGACAAGGAGGGTATCCCCCCAGACCAGCAGCGTTTGATCTTCGCCGGCAAACAACTCGAGGATGGCCGAACCCTGAGTGACTACAATATCCAGAAGGAGTCCACTCTTCACTTGGTGCTGCGTCTGCGTGGTGGCCAATAATGGACTATTTCTCAACTCTCCCTATCCAAGTGTTGTGTCTTATTCTATCATGCATTCTTCCCACTGCACATACCAACCAACCTACCTAGTACCTGCTCACCTTTCTACACTAGCTGTATCACATCGCGCATCATGCCACGTCTGACATTAGGTTTCTCTTTGTTCTTGAAGTAACGTATCCATATTCTCGCGGTGGTCTGAGCTCTATCGCCTCCAGCACCTCCCAGCCTTGACTTTCCTGCTACATTGGAAGAATTTGTTCACACTCTATAGTGAGTACTGGTTGTCTTGTTTGACTAATGCGTGTCTGTTTGAACATTGCTGCAGTGCACTGTAAAGTAAAATGAGTTCTGGTCTGGGGATACCTACTGTTGGTACTGCTTGAAGTATTTTTGGCGGAGAAATCCTACCTCGTGATTTAATTGTGTGCTGCTAGGCATGCGGTTGTGTAACCACTGGTGGTATTTAAAAGTTACAATAGCACGATAGGTCTGATTTCTCTGGCCACGACTATAGTTCAGAAGTAAGGGTGAGGCTTCTTCTCAGTTGGAAGAAAGGCATTTGAGTCGCCAAGCCTAATCCCATCACTACAAAGCACCGAACACTGTTTTCATAACGATTCGGACTGGACTAGTTCACTGCGAACGCCAGTGCAGTACGAGTCGTAGTGTACAGCAATGATTGTTATTAATTTTTGTTTACAGTACTGTAACAGCTGAACGAGGTTTTACAACTGCTTACAAAAGTCTTGTTCAGGTCGTACTATTCCTAAATTAAAAAAGTACTCGTTCATGACTACCACTGTACTAAGGAGTCGTACCCAAACCCTAGGTACTGACGTCGTTCACCGTGAGTTTGTGCTTACTACAGTCAATTTCAAAACTATAATAGACGCGTACCTAGGCAAAACCGTTATGCCAGCATCTATACCACATAAAATCTGTGATCACTTTGTGCATAAATTTTTCCAAATTGGGCGTCTGTTATCCAATCGTTTAGAAACTATATGAGTAATTGTGGAGCGGACCTGAGCAATATTCCTAAAACTATTCTCAAAAAGTTCCAGCCAAATTTGAAGTATTCCCTACGCGTCTATAGTTTTGAAATGGACTGTAGTAATATGCCGCTTTCAAAAAGCAAACTTAACTTTCAACCGGCTAAGTTGACGCTGCCTCAAGACTCGTAGTGCATGCCTTATACGGTATGGCTCAGGATCTCCATTCTCTGGAAAAGCTGACGTCAACAAAAATTCGGCCAGGGGCCAAATTAAGAATACATGATTGTGCAGGTCATGACTCATCTAAAACATATTGCGAGCTTCCAATTTTCCCTATGCATGACGCCCCACACACCAGCAAACTCCACGCAAACGTGTGGTTTCATGTGTGCAGCGGTTATGAGCACAGCTTGACCTGTCTGGGAGTTGTACCCCCCCCCCCCCTGAATGGTTCAGGTATCATACCCTGCATGCTGGTCATACTGCACAGGTGGAGGTGTTCAAGAGTCCTCAGTAGTAGTCAGGCGCGTGCGCTGGTGCCCTTCAAAGGAGGGTTCCGGGGGTTCCCCGGGGAAAAATTTCAAAAAATGAAGCAAAATCCTACATTTTGAGCGAAAAAAGGGGGGTTCCGGGCACCCAGGAACCCATACGGGGCACGCGCCTGTTAGTTCAAGCTGAATCGTAGCAACACGCTGAATATCGCCGCGTGCAGAGTAAAACCAGGGAGTTGGAGAACAACGATGTTCTGAGTTAGACATGGAGTGCTACGGACTTTGAAAATAATAGTTTTTAGCAACCATGATAGCATTATGACAAGACGGTGTACAGTTCACCGCAGGTTTGCAAGGTAATACGTCAAAACACTTGGTATGTACACAGTAGGCAATTGTTATAAGAGGTCTTGCCGCGGATATAATACGAGTACAGAGCACCTGTCTTGCGAGTCGCGACGCACAGCTTGTGTGGCCGGTCTCTTACCCTACAGCACCTGTACCGTCATGAAGGAGGCATGCTGTGCTTGCGTGGAAAATATGATACTGCAGCATAGCAGCAGAACGCACAGCTCAGAGAATACGAGGTGCCCACGCCGGCACCACACTTGTGCCGGAGCTTGCAGCATCTTCAAAGTCTTTCCAGTTTCCACACATACTGCGTGCACAGCATAGCCTCGATAAATTCATAACATCAAGTAAAGAACTAATAGCAACTACACGTGCTACGATGTGGTGTAGATCACAGCACAATTGACATGCAGTTACGCAGTATACTTCCGCATACTGCGCTAACGCCGCCGCACCTTCGGCTTAGCTGATTGCCGAGCCTCTTCGACTGCGGATCGCTTTTCCTCCGCCGTGATGCCGGTCACCTCTGTCAGCGATGCTCCAGTATCTCCACTAGCCAGTGCAGGCTTAGCCTGTGGCGCGGGTACCTTGTCCGGGTCGAAGTCAGGCAGAAGCAGTGGCCGCTCGTCCAGCCCCGGCGCAAACCGATCGACGACTTTGGTCGCGTGCGGCAGCGCAAGCGATTTCCCTGGCAGAGACGGGACACGCACACAAGAAAAGACTGTAACAGCGGGTATACGCCTGTCAAGAGCACATCAGCGTTAACGTTGGGACTCTCAGCAGGAGCTGGCAGCTCACCACCACTTTCCTCTGCACATTATCATGATTATAAAGGGGTGAACAATTATTACGACTATTTGACTACTAGTACTTGCTCGGTTTTTGCAAAATAGTCGTACCAAGACAGTATAAATCAGAGTACTCGTTCATAACACACATGGTTGGAGGCAAGCTTTCCTACAGGTTACTACAGTAGAATGATGTCAATATAGCCATTGCCGATTGGGCATATAATGCGTTCAGCCTGAATACCGTAAAGTCTTGTATAAAAGCCGCACTTGAATAGAAGCTGCCCTCCAATAGGAGCCGCAATGTTGGGCCCATGAAATCACACATAAGCCTGGTTTTAGTGTTGACATACATAGAAATACCTGTCTTGTATAGAAGCCTGTCTCACAGTAGAAACCTGCAAAATATCACCAAGAAAGTCGTAGAAGCCGCGGCTTTTATACAAGACTTTACGGTAGTACAATCCTCACCGAGAGCATCACGTTCCACCATAGCCTGTACGGATTTGCTCATGAGTGGCACGTAACGTTCGCGGTAAACGGTGTTGCTGCGTAGGTAGAAGACGACGGGCAGAACGCACATGTTGTGAAATATGCCCAGCCAGAAAACAATCTGCATTGCGTGAAGAACAAACACGCACATACATGTACACACGCACGCACACACATGCATGCAGCAAAACTTGGAAAAGATGGACCGGCAATAGGGCGGATGATTTGCTGGGCACATGCTGATTCCACTGTTACCACTTCATAAGTGAAACAAGTCAGCCAGAGCTCACACTGATTACAGTGGAGTCACTCGCCAAAGAACGTGGAGCCCAAGAACGTCCAGCCTGAAATGCTAAGAACACCACAGCCCAAAGCTAAGAACGGCGGTGTTGGTCTTCCGGCAGCTTTTGGGATACATAGGATTCAGTACTCAATCTGCGGACAGCATGCTGTTTCGTTCTTTGTGAACTCATCAGCGCAGCACAGAGGAAATGAGGCCGAACCTGATAGCAATGGAAATAAAAATTTCCAATCAGGCCCGAACGTACCTTGCCAGAGTGCTCAAACTGACAAGTCAGTGAGCTCTGCGTAATGCGTAATAGGATTCAGTACGAATTGTTTCTGATAACGTGCTATAAGAACGCAGCCAGATTGCTGAAAAATAAGAAAGCCCCAGGCTAACCCGTTGGGAACAACATTCTTGGACGCGTGACTCTATGTTACTGTGCCTGTCAGAAACGTTGATTAGAAACAGAGAAAAGTCACCGAAGGAACGGAGTGCGCACTTACTGCCGCCACGTCCCGTAGAATCAGGGTCACGAGTATGGACACCGAGAATTGAAACACAATCTGGCCCGGGTTCATGTCCTTGGCTGCTTTCGGCGAAGCCGCCTGGCAAAACAACACAACAGGAATTCAAGAGCGGAAGTACAGTGGAATTGAGCGGGGTTCACAGAAGCTTTTTTGCGAGGCGATGCGCGATGCGACGGCCGCGAAGCCGGGAAATTCCCAAATCGCACCCATCTCGCAGCTCACGCAACTGGGCCATCGCAAAAGTTGAGCTTAGGTCAACTTTCGCGATGCGGCAGGCGATTCGGTGTGCAATATTGACCCTCTCTGCAGCAAAGTTGTACAAAGGTTCAAGAGTTGTTTGTAGATTTGTAAACGTTGTACCAAGCCGCGCGAACACCATGGTGACCAGCATTGAACTTCACGCCAAATCAGCAAGGCGATGTCACATCGCTGACTTCTTCTGTGAATGGTATTTCGCGAGTTCGCATCGCACGCCGCCATCGCAGATCCCGTCGCATCGTGCATTGCATCCCCAAAAAAGCTTCTGTGAATCCCGCTTTATGCTACGAAGAGCAGCAATATGACAAACATTCGCATCTTTGGAACAAATACATGTATGCATGACTCTAGTGGGCAAACGTAGCTTTAGGCTGCAACCACACTTGGTACACAATCACGTACAAACGGCATTACAGTAGAAATCGTCATGCCGACGCGTGCGAAATGCAAAATGCGCTTTGTAGGTTTTCAGCAACTGGCGCACCCCTGTAGAAAGCCACGTTTGTCGTTTTCGCGCTCCATCTCCTGTGTACAACTTTGTTTTTGTACCTGGTCGTCGTACATAGCATCAGCATCAGCATTGCTTTTGAATTTCCCGGTCTTTTCCAGCGCATGGCACACGCTTTGGTACGACAACGTCACGTGCTGGTCGCGTGAAAACGTCATCTATGCAGACCGAAAAGTGTAGTGTGGTTGCGTACCGACTTGTACTGAGATATGCATGAAAATTTGTACTGTGATTTTTACGTAGTGTGGTTGCGGCCTTACAGCTCCGAGTCTCCATGCAATGGCGGCAATGACACTTGAAAAAAATAGAGGTACACCTGTATAAAACAACATCGTCCATAGTTACATACACAATTACACAGTCACCTGGCACGCACGCACGCCCACGCTCACACATTTCACTATCACAATGATTGTTATGATTCATATCCCTAGCAGGGGTCGTATTATTATGACTCCTTGTTGCCATACATCATGTATAAATAACCCATCACTCACCCATATGCGCATAACGTACAGCGCGAAAAACAGAGTCGGACTAAGCAGTGTCGTGTCCGCCGCACCAAGGTCAGAAACCCACAGCCAGCCGCCCATGTTGCCATGGAGATGAGCGGCAATGGCCGCCCCGGCCCCCATGCAGGCGGCAAGAGGCACTTCGAACATGCCCAGCGACAGTTTATGCGGCAGGCGGAATCCACTTTCCTTCAGCATGTCCTGCAGGAGAGCAAAGGAGAAAGTAAGCTCCACCATATGAACAGCAGCAGTACAGTAAAACCTGCCAAAGCCGACCGCTCAAGGGGCCTTCAAAGTGGGGTCTCCTTATCCAGGGTCATTTGATCGGAAATTACATCCCTTGCAGCTACAGTGAGACCTGTCTAAGACGACCACCGCTCAAGGGACCTTCAAAATGTTGTATGATCATACAAATTGCGTACGTCCGGTAGAGCTAAGGACACGTTCTCGCCGAAACCCTGCTAGGTGTACAGGCAAGTTTCTTGTGTGCAATGCGACACAGATACACAGATACACAGATACACAGATACACAGATACAGATACACAGATACACAGATACACAGACACACAGACACACAGATACACAGATACACAGACACACAGACACACAGACACACAGACACACAGATACACAGACACACAGACACACAGACACACAGACACACAGACACACAGACACACAGATACACAGATACACAGATACACAGATACACAGATACACAGATACACAGATACAGTAGTATAGGCAACATGACTGTGATGTTCATAAATCAAGTGGCAACCTAGTCATAGCATGTGAACCTAGTCATAGCATGTGAACCTAGTCATAGCATGTGCTCACAACTGCCAACTGCATGTATATTTTAAAATTTCAGAAGGGTGGTCAGGTTCGATGTGCAGTCTGGATCTTCTGTACACGTTTTTGTCCACTTTCTACGCACGCATGCACACACACATACACACGCACGCACGCACGCACACACAGAGCCAAGGCCATGCAAGCACAAGCACATTCCTACCCGTTTGGCCCTGTAGACGCGCCACGCCTCGCCGTACAAGCTCTGCCCTTTCAGCCGGTCCTGGTACTCGTCCAGCAGTGTCGTGTAGCGGAGCAGGGCACGCTCGACGGAAATACTACGCATGCGCAGGTGCAGCAACAAGGGAATAACAATCGGCTGAACGCTCAGCGCGCAGAGAGCTAGGGCAGTAGGCCAGTGACCGGTCAGATCCGCTAGCCATGTCATGTACGACGAGCAGTAGGCCGGCGGTGACGATGTCAGTATATAGTCGGTCAGGTTCTGCCCCATCTCCTCCTGGACGCCGGCCAGGATCTCGGCGTCCATCTGCTTGGCCTGCTGCACGTCCACCACCACGCTGCGGCGTTGGGTCCAAACTGGTGTTGCCGCCGACCCGGCCGCTTTAAGGTGTCGCCGACATGAGTGCAATGGCGGTGCGGCGCTGGCAGTGCGGCCGCCGCAGTGCGTGGCGGATAGAACGTACGTCCGTGTGCTCACCAGTGCCGTCGTCGCTCCTATGCCTGGCGGGTGAGACAACTACATACGAGAGAAAGGAGACCGGCATACACACATGTATGTACATGTGCACACACAGACATGTGCGCACACAGACCCACACGTGGCACACATGTTCTTAGAAACTGCTGGTGCAGAGCAGACACGCCCTGACACTCACGTAGTGAATAACGCACATGCAAGACGTGGCCTAACCTGCTTCTCCTGTTTCAGCTATAAACACTGGCATTGGACACACGGTACACAGTGAAGACTCATCGCTCTGGTCGTGTTTGCATAACTGAGTCTGTTTACCGTGATGCAGATGTTCAGACGCACTGGTCAACGGGAGATATTGCGCGGGGCAAGGCTTACAATTTCTGAATCATTCCGGCAGAGACATTATCTGCAGTCTATCGCTGCGCGGTGTGTGTGTGTGTGTGTGTGTGTGTGTGTGTGTGTGTGTGTGCGTGCAAGCGCGTATGTGTATGTGGACTCACATGAACATACATGTAAATAATAGATCATAATTCAAAAAAATCATGCACTAGTGCATGCGCGGTGATGTGCCATAGCTGGGACTGCTTTACGTGTACTAGACTAAACATGATCGTCTGTGCACCAGGACAGGGGAGTCTCTGCCTGCTCATGCTGGCATCATCTTACCAGCGATCTCGTGCTTGCAACACGCCAATGGGGCAGGCACGCTCTTGCTAACATTTCCCCAAGTCAACCTCGCTTCTTACAGTACCCCGGCGTACAGTTGTCAAACGCAGTGACTGACTGCAGCTCCAGCTAGCCGCTCACTGCTCGTGATCTTGGACTCATTCAATGACGGCCATCATGCAAGCGGTACTGTGGTATCTTGTGCCAAACTGGACTCTAGTTCCGTCTGTAGCAAGCTCAAGTCTAGGCTGATGTAGAATAGCCACTCCTTATCCTGCCCGCTCGCAGATATTTCAGCAATAGCTGCTGTATCATCAGTTCTTCTAGCTGTGCTCATTCTCGTTGAAGAGTCTACTTTGAAAAGTGATTTGCAGTTTGATGTCATTTTTACATTTTTACTAGTAATTTTTTGCTCCTTTGACTTTTGACTGACGCCATTTTTACGTGTCCTAGCGACTACATGATACACGACTCCGTCACCTCACCTAGGCCTAGTACCTGCTCACCTGGTCGGCTACTCAGATCTCTGACAGTGATTTACATGTATGCCGCCTAGCTAGCTATCGATATCGCCAGCAGCTAGCACTTTAGTTTAGCAGTCTGGTCATCATGGTCATGGTACTGCCTATCTTTCGTTTCGGGTTTCCCCTCTGTTCATCCCGCCTAGCAAACATGACTCATGAGTCACACCCTCACTCAGAGTGTATGCGCGGTGGAGTGAGGCATCAAGGCCCGGGTGCAGGCCCCGCAGTCGGTGACCGCACAAGGATCTGCTAGTTAGTACGAGTAAAGATGGGACTCAGGGAAGTCCGGAACGGACGGGCTGAAAGTGCGCGAATGAGACTGTACTTCGATCCAGACTAGACTACTGACTAGGGCCTAGGACGTAGGAGTAGGACCAGAGCACAAACATGCAAACAGAAAACTCTGACCAGATCAACGACACCGATGAGAAAGGGAGATAAGAGCGAGCGGCTGCACCTCGAAGTGGAAGCAAACGAGTCTTGTGTTTGAAGCCAGCAGAGCTGGGTAGAAAGTGCATCTGCTGCGCTGGTCGAATTCGGGCAGCAAAACCGGCGCTAGTCGTCGGCCTGCAGTGCATCGGTCGGCAGTGCATACTAACCGTCGCTTCTGAGCTAAGACAAGTGAGTGTAAATAATTATTTGGGCCAGTGCAGTAGCTGGAGCTCATTCAGTGCCGCTATCTTCTGTGACCTGGTCTCCCCGATATAATAATCTCTACACGCGAGGGCACTCACTGACTCAATACCAGGTACTGAGGTTGTCATCATCGTCTACGGCCGGGATAGGTAGAGTCTCTACATGAGCACACACTAGTGATGTTGGTGTTCATACAAACTCCCAGTGGTGACCGGCTCAGCCTGGAGGTCGACCCGAGCGACACTCTGGCGGCGGTCAAGTCACAAATCGAGCAGGAGAAGCGGATCTCGTACGACCAGCAGCGGCTGAGCTACGGCGGCCGGCAGCTATATGCGGATAGTCGCACGATGCATGAGTACAATGTGACGGAGCGATGCACACTAGAGCTGACGTTGCGTCTGAAAGGAGGCATGCAGGTGTTCATAATACAGGTAACCGGCAAGTCGTGGACATTTGAAGTGGAACTCAACGATCGGGTGAGCAGTCTCAAAGCCAGGATCAATGCAAGAGAAGGATTGCCCGTAGAGCAACAACACCTGATCTATGGCGCTAAGCCGCTGCTGGATGACCGCACGCTGGCGGAGTACGGTATTGTGGACAACAGCAACATTCACATGGTGTTAAGTCTGCGTGGTGGTGGGACTGGCGGTGGCTGCATGACATGGTGATCATGTCGCAGGAACACAGGCAATTGCGTCATAACGACGTGATCATGGTAGAGTCAGACCTCGCATAACCGCACACATCCGTTTTCCACAAAAAATATCCGGACAGGCGAGGGAACCGGATAATCGAACAGACATACTGTATGTATGCAAGCCATATTATGCTGTAAATTGACGGTAACCAATGATTTTCTTCCGGATGGTGAGGGATCCGGATGAAAGAGGGCCGGATAAGAGAGGTGCGACTCTAATCAAGCAGTTGTAAACACTGGTATTTTGCTACACCCTGATACCAACCACTGGTGAAGTTTTGTGAACAACAGGTGGCCAAGATGATTTGATGCGAATGTTGAAAACGAAGCATACAGGTTGACTGGCCTTTACGGCTGCTTAGTCGGTCGGTGTGCAGCTGCCAGACTATGTTAGTCGGTCGGTGTGCAGCTGCCAGACTATGTTCAGTGTACACTGTCCAGTGTATGGCTCGTTGGTGATCAAAGTTGAACATGGCGTGAGCACGGCTGCAGGTCTGATTGCCGGATGATCGTAGCATGCTCCCGCTCTTGAGAGAATTAATTGCAGAGCCGCAATGTGAGTCAAGGTTGCTCAGCCGCAACAATGCGCGGAGCTGCTTGCCACAGCCAGCTTGTTGAGATGATCAACAGTGCATACGGTACAGGACCGTGTGGCCTGGCTTGTGGGTATTATTATTATTTAAATTTTGAATAGGGCAATCCCCGCAATACGTTGTGAATGCATTGCGGCGGTAGTGTGCTCCGAAGCTGCTTTTAACTTACAAGTTCTTGCATGATGTGTGGATCTAGCGGCGCAACATAGTGTAGTGGCTACTGCGACAACCAGTCCCCCCCCCCCCCTCACACACACTCACACGCACGTTTCCTTGTTTTCTTTCTCACCATAACCACATACATTGCCTAACTTATTGTATTCTCATGGCAAATTGGCTTCCCGGCGCGGCCACCAGTGCACGGCAGATCCTCAGCGGCTCAGTGCCATCCGGCATCATTACTGCATCATACACTCTTTTGTAACATATCTCACCAAGTGCTTGATGATCCTCATTGCCGGCCAATGGGTTCTCTTGATCAGTTTAATAATCATATTAATTTATAAATATTATTTTTCTTTCTATTCTTATCCAGGCTTTGACTTCGACTTGAACATGTATCTTAATTTTTCATTACTACCTGGTTCGCCCTACTTCTCTTTTTTGTTCGGAGAGGATGAAACAGTGTACTGTCTGTACCCACTGAGGGAGTCGTCAAATACGGCATTTGACGACTCCCTGGTCTGTACTGTCTGCTAATAACAGTAAGTGTATGAAGTAGCTCAGTGCCCTCAGATTGAGCATATGCCTGTATGGTATACTTTGAAGTACAATGTACAATGTACAATACTTTTATTTAAATGTGGTATTCTAAAAATGTGCTGAAAATGTCTGTCAGATTTTTATTCAACTATGGCTGTTATGGCTGTCCTGTGTTCCTTCTTAGTTTATATATATATATATATATATTAAATGGTTTTGAGGGAAAGAGACAAACGGGAAAAGTCTGAAGAAAAAATTGACTGTCACCACCAGGACTCGAACCAGGGACCCTCGCTTGTAGCCAGCGATGCTCTAACCACTGAGCTATGGTGTAGTCGTCATCCAAGCAGAGACCGTTCAACGTTTTCTTCAGACTTCGTAACTCACACTTCCTGTGAATCCACACAGGCGGGTGGGACGCAGCCCTCACTGTACCCACACACTTCACGTACAAACTAGCACGCGGGGAGCCCCAAGTCATAAAATATTAAATGGTATATATATATATATATATATATATATACAATGGAAGCGGTCCTCACCAAGAAAACACAATTGTGTACTAGCTCCAGTGCACCCCAGCACTGTTGAGCCCTCTTTGCGGTGGACGGGACCACTTCCCCCTGTATATATATATATATATATATATATATATATATATATATAATCTTTATTTCAGGATTACCCAAAGGCTAACGCCTATCTGGGGGATCTCCTATTTGTGTATGTACTAGTAACATAGTTAAGGATGAAAGTGCGCAATAAGAAACACAAGGAAAGAAAGTAAGACAGAAAAGAAAAGAACAAGCATGTAAATCAATGATTGCACATCAAAGGTGTACCAGTGCAGTCGAACTGATACTTAGCAATGTGAATACGTAAGTGACGCTTGAATTCAGATAGGGAATCTAAAGTTGTCAATCGGGGTGGAAGACAATTCCAAAGAGAACCAGTTTTCTGTAGGAAAAGGGATGAAAAAATACGACCATGTGAGTTAAAAACGAGCTTTTTGGGCCTACGGGCACTACGTGATATGGTTATCGCAAAGCGAGAGAGATATTCTGGGTGAAAATTGATGTACTTAAATAAAACCACAAGAGAAATAAAGATACGGCGAAATTGCAGAGATTCTAAGTGACACAATCTATTCAAATTGGATTTTGATTCATAGATATCAAAGGTTATTTTTGCAGACTTCAGGAGTCGCCGGCAAACCTTAGCCTGGAGTACATCAAGGGACTCTAACTGAGCGGATGTGATCCTAAACGACCAGACAGGAATGGCATATTCAATTGCCGGACGCACATAAGACTTATACAAGAGGAGAATATGGGACGATGGTAAATGTCTGCCCATGAAACATAACAGGTTGACTCGTTGCTGAAACTTCCTGAAGATGGTGTGGAAGTGGTCATGGAACTTCAAACCATCACTGAGCTGTACGCCGAGATGCTTAGCAGAACGTCCAAAGGCAATAGGAACGCCGTCCATTAAAACAGAGGAGGAGTCAGGAATGTCATGATTCGAAAAGATGAAAGTTTTTTCTGGAGAAAATTTCCCATGGATATTCTGAGCCCAATTCTGGCAGCTGGCCAGATCCTGCTGGAGGTGGGACATGTTCTCATCTAAGGAGAGGGATACATTATGAGCATTTAGAAGAGTGACATCATCAGCAAAGAGAAAGGGTGAGGTGTGGTTTACTATGTCAGGCAGGGAATTGATATACAAAAGAAAAAGCGGAGGGGCAAGGTACGAACCCTGGGGAACACCACAGTTTAGCATATATTGAGAAGAGTGAGTTCCATCCAGCTTCACATTTATTTAGACTACGGTCAAGCAAGTAGGACCCAAACCAGGCGTGTGCCTCTGGTGCCATGAATGCATTCATGTGGCGCAGGAGCGTAGGATGATGTACTTTATCAAACGCTTTTTGGAAGTCGAGAAATGCACAGTCAAATCTCTGGCCTCTATCAGAGAGACGGGCAATCTGATGGGTCAAAAGAATGAGTTGATCCGTAGCTGATCGTTGTGGAACGTAAGCAAATTGACTGGGCGAAATTATGCAATTACGGTAAAGAAAGCTGTTCAGCTGATGGGCTATGCGGGATTCGAAGAGGCGGCTGATGGGATGGAGCAGTGAAATTGGACGGTAGTTCGTGGGCAAAGAAGCACTTCCTTTACCTTTGAAAAGAGGAATAACCGTTGCTGATTTCCATGCAGTGGGAAATAGACCATTTGACAAAATAAAGTAGGGGGGCGTAAGGGGGCAAGGCATGGTAGTATAGGGGGGCCCCATCGTGCATGAGATCGCGCGTGGACCGTGCACACTGCACAGTGCAGCGTGCAAGTACAGTGTGTACGTGGTGTACTGCACGGAGATTTCGTGTGCTTGTTGGTGCCGGTGGCCGTGTTTCTTGTTTTTGTTTTGAAATGATTTGGTTGTAGTTCAGTCGGTAGTTTTCCTTCGCCTCACGATGCCATCGCACGACCACTGCTCTGTGTTTGGCTGCTCAAATCGCCGATCAGATCAACGAGATCTGTCTTTTCATAAGTATCCCAAAGATCCCGACCTAAGGCCAGAGTAAGGGCGAGATGGGTGCAGGCATGTAAGCGCGAAGAGGGAGCGCATTTCACGATCTCATCCAGCACTGTTGTTTGCAGTGAACATTTCAGGGAAAAAGACTTCCATCCAGATCTACCCGGGCTGCCTGCATTAGCTTCTGGGAAGCCGCATCGTCGTTTGAAGCAGGAAAGCATCCCCAGTGTTTTCTCCTTTCGGCGACCACCAGCCGAGAGACCCTCTCCTGCGGATCGTCGAAGTGCTGCACTTGTTCGTCATTCTTTACTAGAGAGGCTCGATGTCGAGCCAAAAGCCAAGAAGCCGCGGCGAGGAGAAAGTGAGAGTGAGTTTGAGTATCGTGTCGGAGGCTGCCGAAACTGAAATCCAAAATCTAAGCACCAGTAACACAGCAAACACAGAGCAGAGCCCACCATCTCCACCAGCAACACCGTAGCAGCCCTCACACACACAGCAAAATACAGCACAGCACTATCATTTTTGGCGTCATCTGTGAACACAAGTCGCAAGCTGTACTTGGTAGACTTTTTCTGGGTTGCCCAGCACTTGGCTTCGATAAAAATCTCGGCCTCCACACAGCACACACTAACATCGTGATTGTATCCACCAAAATACAGCTCGTGTCCCCGATCTAGAGGCCTCTTGATGATGAGTACATCATGGCTCTCACTGGTGCGAACTTGCTTTCCAGTAAGCAGCAAATGCGACAAGATCGTGGATGCTGTTACACGAGGAAGTTTCGATCTGTCTTGGGTCCAGCCAGAGTCAGGAAATACTGGTGCTGAAGTGCGCGTGGCGACGGGAGCTGCATTACGGGTCGACCGCTTGCTTCTTGGTGCTTCGGGATTGGATTTGTAGAATAACGCCCTGGATGTAGAACAAATGTCACGCGCAGTTCGTGAGTGAGTGTAGGTAAAAAAAATCAGTCGACGAAGCCCCGTATGAACGACCTCGTAAGTAGCTCCGCTTTCCGTCCTGTCAACAAACCACCCTGCTTTCGTAGATAATCTCTCAGCTGCTTTATAGTCCAAGAAGGCTGAGGAACCTCTTCTACCAGCTCTCCGACTCTGCCGTCCTCACCCTCCTGAGCTCTGTCTACTCGAAAAAAACAAAACCAGCAAGAAAGTGTGTACTTTGTCTGCTTGACCCAGCGCTGCTGCATGCGCGCTGCTGCAGCGCTGGGTCACCTGACGCCCCCCTACGCGTAAGCTTGCCCCCTTTCGGCCCCCCTACTATTATTTGCGCAAATGGTCTATTGTGATGTGGATACACTGGAGTGGACCGTATGCGTGTTAAAACAAAATGGCGTCACGATTTATTGAAAGTGGTATAGTTGGTGGAACGAGTGTTCAAACCCATTTGAACTTCATACTGTTCGTCTTCTTTTTGACATGCTCTCTTTCCATCGTCCTTAGCTTTTGTTTGTTGAGAGCTGTTTTGGCTTTCTCCTATACCTCTGGGGGATGCCAAGTGATGGCTTTGAGAGGCTGGTGATGGCTGTGAGCGAGAGTTTGCCGATCGGCGTCGTCCTCGCTATAGCGATGAAAATACTAGTTACTGCGCACCTGGCACATATCACAACACGTCGGAGCGTCCAGGAGCAAAGGAATCTTGGGTTTTCACTGGAATCTAGTTCCTCCAGCATCGTGTAGCCCACCGTCGGTGAATGGCGGTCCAGAAAGGTCGAACCTGGTCTTCTGCAGCATCTCGCAGTCCTGCGAGGCACACTGAATACGCCTGTCATGTATTCTACAAATAAAAATCACGAAGTTGTGGACTTTACAGTGATGAGTCTATCCTGTATGCTGCAAAAGACGCAGGAAATGTGACTGGTGTCCGTACACTGGACGCCAATATCATCCCAGTCTTCTCCTGCAGGATCTGTTTGACATTGACATACCGGTATGCAGTGGGTCGACATTGGCCTGGTTTGGCAGCTATCTGCCTGGGTGGATGTAGCAGGTTTGCATTGGCGCGTCGTCCAGTCCGACATATTCTTGTAACTGTGGAGTACCGGCAGGGTCTGAGAGGTTGCTCGTGCTGTGAACACATCTCTACTGCCTGTCTCGTCCTGGAAGTGCCGTCTCGCCGCTTCCTTGCTCTACAGTCACGCCGTTATTTCGCTTTGTTTCGTGGTGCAGCTCAAAACCTGCCCAAACAACTGTGAGCTCGCAACATGGTATGGACAAATTGCACCACTCATGCTGATTAACTAAAACCGGGATAGTCGAGTAAGCGAGTTCACTCCCTGGGCCATGGCAAGATCTGTTCAGCGCGGGCTATTCCAACCTCCAAGTGCATAGTCACCGATCGATCC